TCACGAAGACGGTCCCCAGGAGAGAATTGACGTGCTTCACAAAACAAACTCTAGGTATGTATCCCCTCGGGGAACACCTTTCGTGATTAGAATTTCATATGCACTCTTCCTGAATGTTCAAGGGGGTTTCAACTATCCTGAAATCATGAGAGGCTCACGAAGACGTTCTCCAGGAGAGAATATAGAGAATTGAATTTAGAGGCGGGGGGAGGGGGGGGGGGCGGGTATTGAAAAACAATTTCCCGGGGGGGGGGGGGGGGGGGTGTGTTTTGAGAAATCAATCCGAGGGGGGGGGGGTTGAATTGAACTATCAATCATTAGACCCGGAAGCGCCGACACTTGCTTCGCAAGACAAACTCTAGGTATCCCCTTAGGGGCTACCTTTCGTGATTTGATGTTATTTGTATATAGGAGAATATAGATGTCAAGCTTCCAATTCTGACAGTTTCTCTCCAATGGTCGCCCACCTGGTTCTGGTTCAATTGTATACGCTTTATTGGAGGTGGTTGTCTCGAGCTATCCAAAATGGTAATGTATTGCGTCAGAGGAACACCAGTTCATCACGCCACTGGTTCTGGGACGAAAGCAGCAAGCGAGCAGGCCAGTCAGCCCAGGTGTGCCGTTAAATTAACTCCAAGCACTGCAGGTTTACTTGAACATATTGTGGTCCCCAAATTGATGGAAACGGTATCCAATGGATCTACGTTTCTATCTATTTGGAGGTTCATATATTGATACATATACATGTCATATCTACCACCAGCATTGTGCGGATTCAACCCATTGTGTCATTCCAAAGAAAAGCACATCAAACACATCTGAAAATACCCCTCCACCTCCATCAAGCTCTCTCCGAAAATAGGTCTTCAACCAGTAACCATGCTAACCTCTACCATCCCATGTTCAACACAGCCTTTCCAGTCATGTTTCATTTTGAACCGACGAAAACACAGTGATTCCTCGACTATACCAAGCATACAGTAGTTGGAATGCATAGGGGTCACAAAAACATACAACAAAAACCCTTCCACCTCCCAACATTGGCCTAATGAGGTTCTATGAGGTTCTTTTCACTTCCCGGTCACCTCTCAGCCGATTCGAGGCTGTTCTTCACACCAGCCGAGTGGCCATGCTACTCACCTCAGCGATCTCTTGGACGATGTGTAACAAACGCCTGGCCGTCCCACGATCTCGGTTTTCGCGCGAGGTTTACGCGCGCCCCACGCCGTGGAGGGTGCGGGAAGACGCTGGTGCAAAGGGGGAGAGTGCCAGCAAATCAGTGATGCTGCAATTCGATTCTTAGACTCTGGGACATACTAGCGGAGAGTGCCTGCAAGAATGGGATGATAAACACCAGCTTGGAGGGTCCAGTTGTAGGTCTCGTAGATATGACTCTTCAATTTTGCACAAGCCTCATGATAGTACGAATACACATCATTGTCTCTTGCTAAACCTCATCAAAGGCACATGACCATAACCCAAAGGTTTTGCACAGAAGTTTGTCACAGAAACACAAAGAAACACACCCGACATCCGAGTGCCGGACTGTTTGTGCAGCATCTCCACATAGATCAAGCCTCTAGCTGCACGAGCAGGCACGAGTATCATGGTCTTCTGTGCTTCACAAAGTAAACCCTGGACACAGAGCTGACGATTCACGAGCTGAGCACAGAAGCAACAAACCGTCCACCATGGGCAACTTCTTGAAGGGGAAATAAATGGAATAGGCTCTTAGCTGAGTCGCCACATCCACTCATTCGAGGCTCTGAAAGGACTCCAGGGACCCATGGGGACCCTGAGACTGAGACTGGTGGTTTTTCTCGGATGATGTGCCTGGACCCTGAGACGGTGGCCATATCAGAGGTATCTCCAAGCCCTCAACCCTGACTACTGTGACTCACTGCGGTCTCCAGCGGTCTCTTCCAAGTGGCTGTACTTCGCTCTCTCCTTCATGAAATGGAGCTCCGTTTCCGCGTTCACCTGCTCGTACTCATTGCCGTAGATGGCAATGACCTGCGAGCAAACCAAAACGCATCGAGCTTTCTTCTCGACCTGCCGCGACCTGGCCGTCATGGAAGGCCACCCGCCACACATGAGTTATACAGTCTGGAAAACTCACATGGACACTGAGAATTGCACCCTGAAATACTTGTTCTCTATCTGCACCAGCGTTTTTTTTTGCAGGGTTCATGTTGGTCTTCAGTGGGGTAATTGTAGTGTAGACTCTTGATGAATAGACACCCCCAGGAGGGGTTCACTCAAACACTCCATGGGATTGGCATGTGACTCCGGATCAGGCCAGGGGTGGTTGACCCGGGGTGAAAAATCCAGTCCGATGGAGTGTCTGGGGAAGTCAATCAGGTCGGGTTCAGTCAAAGCCAAGGCACTAAACGATCGACTAATATATACTGTATGTACTGTATATCTATAGATTAGTCGCTCCCTCCCTGGCTTGCTCCCTGTGCCCCCCACAGCCGCACCAAGTTGAGGATGGTGATGTTGAAGAGGATAGTGCCAGAGACCTTGGAATGGTGGCCACTGAGTTGAAGGAATGGATCCAATGGATCTGGACTCAATTCCATCATTCCCTACGAGTGCTGCCATCAGTCAGCTTGGGATGCAATCATTCATTTGGAACCCCGGCAGCTTGCCTTGGCCAGGCCGCCGCCTAGCAGCTTCTCCCTGCATTCCCACCAGCCATCAGCCCCTGCGAATAATCCTATTAATATCTAAGATTCTTAATTAATTGATATTGAAGAGATTGTTTTGCCTTTTGAATGCGACTTATTCCACCCAACTTCCTAGCAGCTACCCCCTCTGCCTCCCAGTGATTTCTTCCACATGAATGATGGGCACAATCCGCCCGCTGAAACCCTACCAAGTGCACTGAGAGTCACAGGTCACCATTCTTCTTCGTTCCCTACAAGCCAAAAACAGACTTAGCAATCAAAGACTTGGGCTCAAAATGCCCCACGCTTTTGGGGGAAGAAAAGGCCTAAAATGGACCCAAATCAACAAATAGAGCACCAGCGATTGGTGTTGCGCCGTGGTGGAGCTTTCAGCGATTCTGAGTCTTGGACCATAAAGAGCACCAGCGCGATTTTATTGTCCTCCTCCGTGCTCCCCAGCATTAGGCCCATGCGATCTAGGCCATCCTGATCAACATCGCTCGGCGGCTCCCTCGCGACGGTGCAACTCGGAACCCTGGAACGACCGATGGGGCCACCCGGGCTGAAGGCAACTGGGTCTTCTTCTGAAAAAGAGGGTCTTGATGGCTGGTGAATGGATGTGAATGATGCTTGGGCCGCCCGATATCATCACTGTAGATCGAGATCTAGAAACCCTGCTGATAGGATGTTCCATCAACTCAACTGACTGTTTATTGCTTCCTGTGACCAACGAAGTACAGTGTCTTTGAGGGTGGTTTATGTTCAATCTACATTCTTTCCTTCTATTGTTGAAGAAACTTAGTACTGAGGACCAAACAGTGCCAGGGAGTGCTGTTGTCAGTACGAGTTACATGTTTCGCGACCAAACTGAACCTGAACCACAAACTTGGGTCCTATCGACCCGGGACCAAGACCCAACTCCTTCCTTTTCGTCCCTTTTCGTCCCTTTTTCCCTTCGCCATCAATGCTTTCCCTTCAAGCGACGCCATCGCCGAACATCAAGCCCCGGTAGAGGTAGGTGACGGTCCACGCCTCGGTCGAAAAAGGCCAACACGCACCGGTGAGGACTGAGATATATTGAGATGCCAATGGTGGCATCTAAGTCAGACTTCAAAAGAGCTGGGATGAGCTGTGTCCTCAGGTTGCTCAAGGTTGCTCCGCTCATCGTTTACACCAGGATATTCGCGTACATCACATTTGGGAGAGGTTGGAACACCTGAACACATCATCTTGTCTCCACAAGAAGCTTCTTGCAAAACCTTTTCTGGGCTGTGAGACTCCAACGCCTCTCACACCTGCTCCGTTGCGGCGACCGTCGCCCCACCCCGACGGTCTGACGCACGCTCCGGCAGACCTCGTCGTCCCGTGGAGGTTCTCCGGGGCTCCCGACCGCCTGCTCTCGACGGATCAGGGTCAGAAAGGCGAAGGAGAAGGAGGCCTCAAGGGTGGCGGAGGCCAACTTAGGAGCAAGAAGCTACTAGTAGCTGCTGGCCTTACTACTATAGGAACAAGAAGCTACTAGTAGCTTGAGGTAACCATCTGAGCCACCGGACATGGAGCACCAAAACATGGATTTCTTAGAGCACTTAGTGGTCGCCGGGAGGCGATAGTTTGCGGCTTGGAACACGCTGTCTTTTCCTCCTTTTCGAAGGTCTTGTCTTCAGGGTATTGAGGGAGTACAGTGGAGTGACTTGTAACGAAGCCTGAAGAAAGCCCCAAATGACCTCAACACACAGGCATGATTTGTTGTTTCTTTATATATATATAGTCTCATGAGTAAGTAGACACTGGCCCAAGTGCACAAACAACAGAATAGAATCATTTTTGCCAATCACTCTTGAATGATGATGTGGTGCTGCGCTTCCTCTTGAAAAGCACAGGGGTAATCTAACTAACAAACAAAGCATAGTAGATCAACTGGTGCCAATCCAAACGAACACAGAAAGCCAAACATTATCTCAGTAGAAGGGAGCAAATTCGGAACGATCCTGTTGAAGGTCACTTGCTCATCTGGGTCCAGACAACCACAAACATTTGAGCTCCTCTCTGACATGAACAGTTCATCAGTTTATAATAGTTTATCTATGTTTATCATAGTATTCTCCGCTTCTTTGAGATTTTGGGAGAGCCACGAGGAGTCTGCATCCTTTGCTGAACCACGCCTCGCATGACTCCCCTAGGCCTTGTGTTGGCAGCGACTCGAACCCTCCGTCGCGCTTCATCGAGCCACGGTGATCTGCCACCGCTGTGTCCCCTTCCCCACACAGATCAGCCAAAGGAGCGAAAATCATGACCTCAGCGCGCTCTTGTCTCGCGTCAAACGAATGGCTTCAGTGCCAGGGTTTCCGCGGACTGTTTTGTGGGAAATAGCTTCCGCAGGCTGAACGGCGGCAGGAGATGCAGGAGTCTGGGGAAGCTGTGGATTATTCGAAAACATGTCGTGCTTTGGGGGCTGTGAAGGCAGCTTGCAGGTGGTTCCGGGATACGGACGTAGGAACCCCTACGTCCCGAGGATCCACCGCAGCCATCGGGGAAGCCTAGAATGGAGTCCCCCAAGGAAATTTAATTCACTTGGATAATCCAGTTCGTTGGCTCCCGATTTGGTAGAGGACCTCCTTCTTTGGAAGCAAAGAAAGATCTAGTATACAATGTGTCAATTTGTTCCCTTAGATCCCAGCTGCGTTTCGTTTACCAACAATGTTGTTTGTCCTTCTATGGAATTATGGCCGCTGAAGGTGTGTATGGTTCTTACACGATGAGATATGTCCACCTGTCCTGTCAAAAGATTGCCTCCGTCTACCATCATCATTATACATACTTCTTCAACCATGTTCAATCCTGCCGGGAGACAGCAATGAGGAGCATCTCCAGAATGGTGCGGCTGAAAAATGTCTTGAAGATCGCTAAGATCCTTGAACCCAACAAAGCTCTGAGAGAGAAAGCTCCGTCCACGTCCGATCTTGGACAACATCTGGCAAGCTGTGACAACAGTATCTCCACTGAACACGTCGGCACCAATACCGTCCTCTTGAACCTATGGAGCAGCCGCAGCATGTAGGTCACGGCAAAACCCTGTGCAAAGGTGTTGATTGCAAGTAGACCCTGCTCCCACTCTGACATGACCTCGGCGTTTGCTCAAGGAGGCTCGAAGATATCTGCTAAAGCGGCCGGCACAGGACTGTCAAATTGAAGATGGGGTTATAAACACCGACCTGGGCACTCCCTCAGTGACCCTCCGACCCTTGGAAACTATGCCTGTTCACCCAACGCATCGGGACAGCGGACACAACGAAGGGCCAAAAGGATCCAAAAGGTTTGGGCAACAAGAAGGGCCCTGGAGAAGGAGAAACATCCCTACATATCCCTACAACTCACAGGTTGGCACTGCACTCACTGCTCTAATTACTCAATCCCAGCTTTGACCGTACAAATGGATATACTTGCAAATAAAACACTTAGGCCGCTTAGGCCAGTAGTCAAAAGTCCTCGTCACTAACGCTACTCATGATGGCTTTGTTTGGGGTACTCGAACGCGGATGAAGTAAGGGCAGTGCCAAACAATCCTGCCAGTGAGTTCATGCATCCGAAAAAGAAAACATCTCCTCAAGTGGCTGTTGCTTTGTTTTTCGGCCGAGTGGCTGGATCCATGTTGCTAAAGAAGGAGTCATAAACGCAAGGCAACACCAGGAGAAGCCGGCATGACCTGAGGCCGTGGGCCGTGAGTTGAACATAGCTGGAGTTCACTCACCCCAGGCCGGATGGCAATGTCTCAACACACAGCAACTAGCAAAAGCCTTGAAGCATCTAACAGAACGAAACAAACAGTGGACATGTTCATGTTAGATCCAAGGCCATCAAGCCAGGGTCCCTTGATTTTGCGCCACTGAATGCTGTGAACCAACTTCACTCAGCCCAAGGACTTCCTGACCCATCCAGGTCAGAGCTGAACTCGCCCCGGAGCCGAGTTAACAAATACAACTCACACCGATCATGGACCCTCCAAACTGGAGGAACTTCCTCCTGTTGAAAGCGTCTCTTCTGGGCCTTCCTTCTTGGGAAGAGAGCTTCCTTGTTTGGTCTGGGAAAACAAACGAATGATTTGGACACCCTACGATCCCACGATGTGGAGCGTGTGTGGAGGATTCTGTGACTGGTGGGCTTGTTCGGTGGGCGGAGACTCAGTCTCATCAAAAGGCAAGCGAGTGACCTATAGCTACAAAAGAGGAAGCAAATCAACAGAACATCCACAAACAAACTTGTTCTGTTTGTGTTTTAGTCTCTTAGGATACAACAACTTTGGAGAGACATAGCGGCGGCTCGTGGCATTCACACGCCGAAGGGCAAGGATAAGCAGGAGGAGAGGAACCAAACATCGGTGAAGAAGACTGTCCTCAGCTGCGAGAGATTGACATTTTTGGTCTGGTCTGAAACCAAAGGCTACAATGCCACAGTGTGTTTCTCAGGATACATATCCTTCGCCTTCGCCAATATGGAGTCATGTGTGCCAATGATTTTGAGCCCCACAAGTAAATTCAGAATTAACCGGTTACAACAGTCTATTTGGATCAATACAGCGTTCTGCAATGTTTAAAGAGGCGCTCTTGCCAACTCAAGGTCAAGCAGCAAACCCAAGGAAGTGCGGAGATCAATCGAGATCAATTGAGACAGTTGATATACATATTTTTCAACAAGCTCTTTCTGTACTCCCTGGATCTACATGAGCAACACTTCTAAGGCTTCCAACTACCTGAAAAAAACCTGTAGGTTTAGGGGCACCGCGCTTCTCTGTCTTTGGATATGAGGAATTGAACTCGCCAGTCACGATGCAGTTGTGGTTTTTAACCATCCATCCAGGCTTTCCCCTGGCGGTAGCATCCGGCACCCCTGCTATTGGTTGCAGCCTCCCAAACGTTCACAGATTAGGCTATACATGGAACTGGATCATGGAACCTGACAACACGTCATGGAAGGTGAACAAATCTTGATGCTCCTACTGAGTCCCGTTGTATTTGCAACACGTGAAAGCAACACACGTCAACCTCGCAGTCCCTTGGTTTACCTGTCGATTGACCCGTGCCCACCCATATACTACCACTCTCGTCGCCCCAGTGGCGGGTGCCAAAGCGACTTCCTGGGCTGCGACGAGTGAGGTATGGCCAGTGAGGGTGTAGCCCTCTGTAAATACTCTCCTGCAGAGAGCTACATCATGGAACCCCAAAACCACTGGGTTCGAGTCTCCACCGGTCTTTCTTCTCAGGTTCCATGTTGGTTTGCGGGAGGATACTGGATTCTTCCAGTGGAATACACTGTTCACTGGGGCAGGGGAAAAAGCATGGGCTGGTTAGGAATACACTGTTCATTTTGGCCCTGTACAACTACAGTAGTTCACCTGATCAAAACGTTCCTGGTTTCTGCATCTCGAATCATTCCAGCAGGGCCTGGAAGAAAAGGAAACAAGTTGAAGCCATTCGCAGGAATCGTTCCAGCATTGATCCTTTCGGTGCGTGGTTTTATTCAAGATCAGAATAACAATCCAAAGGTCACCGGACACATGCCCAATAAGACGTTGCAAAGCAAAGCATGTCAAAGCCAGCAAAAAAGAACTTCATTCATCAATCAGTCGACTATTTGCTGATGATAATTATTGTTTTAGTGGCGCGCAAATAAGCAACAAACAACACATCGCCCAGCTCAGCGACATGGTGGGATCATCATGCGAGTGCCATTTGCTCCAGTGTGCCAGGAACCACCAGAAGAGGTTCATTCCTCCAGGTGATGAAACCGTGTGCAGTGAGTGCATCGGTGAAATGTTTCGTCATGAAGCCGTGTGCAGGAGTCAAAAGGATGGCCACAGGGGGTCAAATCCACATGGGTGGTATGGGAATGACCATCCTTGATAGGCAGGCCGTGGGATGGTGTGCGTCAAGGATCGCCATGGCAGGATAGACCGACCGTTCAATGGACCTACCCCAATGCAGTCGGTGGCTTGCGCGAAGGATGGACCAACGGATGGCCCCCGGTCGTCTATTCTATTCATTTTAATAGGGAACCCCGCCTACCAATGGGTTGTGGTCTATGTCCCTTGCTCCAGGAAGTCAAACGGGGGGCCTCCCTATTCGAATGCACATCCGTATCTAAGATACCTGGGTAAGACACCCTAAGAATAAGAACTATATGTTTGATTGGAAACAAACAAGCGCATACAATTTATAGTAGGTACACGGTAGCAGCACAGTAGTACACCCAATATGGCACACTAGGTACCCTACAAAGGAAGATGACACAGTGGTGGCTTCCTGGGATCGGGAAGGGATCTGGGCATCGTTTTCGATTGGTTGGAGTGCTTTGCCACAGTGGTGGCCGTCTCCGGTCGGTTCCCCCCTGATGGGGAGAAACGGTTACGATGTCTCACACCGGATGCCAGTCAGGTGGGTCTCTTTAAGGCACACATCAAGGAGTCAACCTCCCCCGGTCAGCAGGCAGTCCTTCTCGAACCTCGGGCAACTACCATGCAACAAGTTCAAAGCAACGGCAGCAACGGTCTTGACGGGCAAAAACATGAATGTATATCCACCCGCCGGAGGGCCTGGCCCTTGACAAACGATGCTTGACCTCACATGACAGCTGTTCTGTCTACAGTAAGTGAACTACTATTCGGGCAGCTCTTTTTGACCCCTGCCAGGAGCATCCTTGCGATCTGGTCGAGCACGGGTTCCGCATACCAGTTTGGGGAGCTGGTTCTTGGAACTACTGAAATCTGGTTGATGATGTTTCCCCCATCAACAAACCACAAGTGAACTCATCCACTAGACCAGAGTCTCTGGGAGAAGTGTTCACCATTTGGGAACCAGCGCCATGTCGCAAAGGAAGACTGGGGTGGGCCATAGACAAAAACAAACGCAAATCTCTCTCTCTATATATATATTCTTATATATTATAAGGTCTTTTTAGTACAGTATAGTTCTTCATTGGAGGGGCACCGAGAAATTGCCACCAACATATTCGTTGGTCGTTGAATCCTGGATTCTCTCTGTCTGGGCGGTTTCAAACGACAGCGCCATGGTGCGGCACCTCCACGAAGCCGAAAGTCAATGCTTCTCCCCATCCCATCAGAACTGGCTTTCCCTGAGATGATTGAGAAACATATACCTCTTTGAGAGGTCACTCTGTTTCAAGGTGAACCCCTATCATATGGACCATATGGACCATGAGATGATTGAGATGGATTCATGTCGAATGAAGAGCCAAACTGGATCTTCTGAGAACGACCAAGTGGCGGCACCAGCGAGGAGGATGGACCAATTCCGATGCTGGTTCTGCAGGGAGTTGCTCTTCGCCTGGAAAATGTTTGGCGTTTTCTCCCCAGAGGTCTGAGGGATGCAGATCGGTGGTGCATGTGAACTGGACCCCTGGTTCTAAATTGCTGACCTTGTCTCACAAAATAGCATCTAGACCCCAGACCACCCACTTACATGTACTCTCCCAATCTGAAGCAACATCCATTTCACACCATACACAAACAACTGCATGGCGCTGCATGGCATTGAAGTCTCTGTTTTGGTCCCTGAGTCAAGTAATTACCTATATAGTGTGAGAACCTGTGACAACTAAGAGACATATATATATATATATATGTGTATATATATTATGTATAATGTAATGTAATGTAATATATATATATATAAAATAATACAATATATATATATAGCTCATTACAGCTCAGTACATAGTGAGTAAAGGGAAAGCTGTCTGTCGGTTCCTTCGGTCGGTTCCTTTTCTCCGTCGGTTCCTTCGGTCCGTTCCCACCTCGCTGGACTGGAGGCCCCAGGCCAGCCTTAAAGACACCGAGCGGTGGGTGAGTGCTGCGTGAGGATTGGCAGAGCGTGAGTGCTGCTATAGCTGCTACACTCTGCCGAAAACATGACATTGATTACATGGAATTGCATTCCATAGGCCCCGAGAAGAAAGACGGCTTTTCCTCTAGAAAAAAGGGCCGTGCCATCCACTTCCATGTTTGTGAGTCGGAGTGTAGTGGTCATAGGATCTTCCCAAGATCTTTACATGAACCAACGTGCTGCTAGTGAGATGGGGGGAGGTCCAGGGCAAAGTGGTACCTAATATATACATATGTATATAATATATGGTTCTATCTAATTGTGTATTAAATATATGTATATGATATATGTTGGAGAACCAACATAAATTTGGTGCTATGGGTGGCAATGCTTCGTCACCCTTCTTCTCTGTTCCACTCAGATTCCACTCTTTGTCTGGAAAGACCTCCTAGCATGGCATAGCAATTCCCCTCTTATCTCTTCACAGCCCCCCAGGAGGAGGAACGGAACGGAACTCCTCAAAACCCTCAGTTGGGTGCCCAAAAAAGGAATGCGAACATATTAGAACATCTCCGATTTCTCCCCTGCCGAACTTGAAAGCACATGAAAGCACCACACCGATCCCCATCTCCCCTGTATCTCCCCGCCACGCCACCGGTCCGGTGTTCTGTCCGGACCCACCGATGACCGGGCGACAAGACGGCCAGCTCGACACCCATGAAGAGCCAGGAGGACGCGAAGACGGGCCACACCAGCCTGTCGTCGTCGCGTCGATCGAAAAGGAATCGGCGGCCGCGGACGTCCACTTGGTTGTTTGGGGGGTCACCTGGAGATCAGAAGATATCATATATAGAAACGTTAATTGTCATAGAATTCTACAGCATGTTCGCGGAATTGAGGTGGTTCATCCGTTCCTGCAACAAGTGGGATCCCATATCATAGAATTCATAGAAGCAGAAGCACATACAATTGTCACCTGGACCTGATCCATATAGTATTGCAATTTCCCAAAGAATGGACAGTGCCCGCAGTTCTCAGGTGGATGAGGATCCATTACAGATTGGTCAATCGCTCCAAGAGCGATAAAAGTGGGGGGCTTATGTTGAACCTTGATGTTTCGAAGGTGTTTCTCCAAGAACTAGTTGCATTCAGCAACAAAAAGTGTGCATCCCAAATCTTCAGGCAATTCAGGCAATCACCAGGCCACATGTTTGTCTACACCAACACACATGAAAACACACCCATTAAATAAGGAGAGTTTAGACCCTTCACCTGAAAAATCCCCGAACAAATGACTGAGAATATATTCTTGAATGTCTAATTATATACAACTTCAATTCTGCCAAACAGCGGATAGAGATCAGTCCAAACATTTCCTTGTCACCCCTTCCCAAAACCAACACCGGCCCCCCTTTCCAGTCGCGCATTCATGACAGGGCTCTTGTCCCAAAGGCAGTAGATGGCGCCCTGGATGGGCAGCTTCGCAAAGACGTGGTTGTCCGTCTCCCAGGTCCGAGTCCTGGATGGGCGGAGACGGAGAGGATGTGTAGGGCGGAGATGAGGGAGATGTCACGTTGCGAGGAGGGGCGGAGAGAGAGGCGAGTGGAGATTTATTGGAGGTTCCGGGTTCTATCGTCGTGTTTATATGACCATACGTGACCTGCAGGAATGCCATGAGGCTCTGGAGAATTGCCCAATTGGGATGTCTTCAGAAGAGATCAATGAAGTGATCTTTCATGTGTCTCCAGTTCCTTGAGAAATCTCAGCTCCTCAGCGAGACACAAAATAGACACATAGACCTCTTGGCATTGCTCCGAGTAACAAGGCCATAAAGATATCCACATCCAGCAGGTTTGGCAGCAGCACCACCTTCACGTCCACATCATAGACGTTGTCTTGGCGAACGGCCGCAACCTGGCGAACCGCTTCAACATCTCAAGTACATGTTGGAAACATTGTTTTCCTTGCCACGACTAGTCAAGTCTTGAGACTAAACCCTAAAAACCCTAAACTCTGAGAAAGCACCAAAAACTGTTCAAAGCAAAAGCTGTTCAGCATTTGTGGCAGGGGTGGGGTTTGGAAACACCAAAACACCACCACTGACTTAATTGTTTACACCAAAGGGAATGTGTTTTGACCCATACTCCATGGAGTCAACCCAAACACATACACTCCAACGCACTAACATGTTTGTAAAGGAATGTAGTCTTCCAAGATCATTTTCCGCTTTCGTGTTAGTGAGTCAGAGTGTAACTTGATGGTGTATGTCGCATGGGTGAAGGTGTATGGTCACATGAGGTTGCGTATGTCGCCACAGGATCTTTTCAGCGATTTGTGGAAAACCCAGCGGAAATTGAGGCGCGTGGTGTGACCGTGGATGCATGTGCATATGGATGGTCTGGACTCTGCATCATGACCTCACGTCTTGACGTGTAAAAACTGACCACGACCTGCTCTTGCCTCCCTGTTCCGTCTAGCAACTGTTTACACCCCTATGATTTACCGTGCTTCGATATCTTGATCTTGTCACCAACAAGTGCAAGCTGTGAATAAGTTCCATCAAGAATCAAGAACTTGAGGTAGATGGATCCGTCCCAAATTTTACCTCAACAAACATCCACCACGACCATGTGTTCCATGGCATGGTTCTTGGGCTGGACCGGGAACCTTCCGCCCCGGTCCCCGGCCCGCAAGGGGATGAAGGCGGAGTGCCAGGCCCTCGGCGAACGGCGCATTCAACCCGATGTCATCCACAGAGCAGGCCGTCTATCTTTCTGTTCACAAGTATAGGTAGTCTATGTGGAGTTAATGATAAGATGCCCCCCAAACATGGATGCATGAACTCGAGGTCGATCCAGTCGCGCGCTTCTTGTAAAAGCTCTTCATCTGGGTGCTTCTAATTTTTACATGACATAAATACCACAAAGACTCTATGGGATTGGCAGTCCTGACACCCGTGTGGGGAACATCTGATTCCAGTCCCATGGAGTATCTGGGATAAGGACAAATTGCAGCTTCATGCTATTGTCTTTGTTCTTAGTTGCCGTTGCATCTTCAAAAGGGTGCATCCAAAAGCGACGACAGAACCGGTGTCTTGCCAAAAAAGCTTTGGCATTGAACCAAAGCGTCGAACCGTTAAGAACCGAAACAACACAAAGTGGGTATAGGTTGCTTCTCTAAAGACAAAACATGTGTTTCCCACCCTGTTCCAGGGACCTCCGTTTTTTCACCTCTTTATAGGGCTAAAGCAAAAACCAAAGGCGGCCCCGCCGTTCCCGCGCCGGACTTCGACCGTGTGGGCCGTTGCTTCCCAACGCCGTTCACTCGCCAGGAGGCTGACACACCTGGGGCCGTTGGGAGTGTTCTTGCTGCGACAAGAAGTCGAAGCAAGAAACAACGCTGGAACCGTAGAACTACGGTGAAATACGGAACAAGACGGACGAATGTTGCTGTTCATGGTTCATGAAAGAAACATCTTTTCAACAAAATCGATGAACGAAGAAACATAATCTTCACATTCACTCATCAAATACAACTCCATGTTCCCCATCTACTATCAGCTTCATTCTTCACACATCGATCTTCCCATTCATTTTTCTTTTTAAAGTCTTCTCTTCGCACCTGGTTGTCCGCATCATACTCCCACTGTGGCCACATCAGCTGACGCCGTTGCACCACGTCCGGTCGGTAGGTGCACCGCGCCGGGCCCGTGTGCAACGGGGCACCTGGCAAGCGGACCGGTGATCGAGGGTGATGAGTCACAACGACATGATCTGTTGACGAAGTGAAGAACAAAATAGAACAAACAAACTGGAGAGTAAAAAGAAATGAAAGCATCAACATTGATGACAGTAATTACAACAGCAAAGCAATAAGGATAAACAAGTAAACACAGTATCTCAGTACATAGTGCTGATACTAGTGCTGATTAGACATCTAGTGCGCCGTGCTTGAATCTTATGGAGCTAAATGTTGAAGCCGTTGAGTGGAAAGCCAAGAAGTTGCCAGTATTCTTGACCAAGCCTCTGCTTCTTAGATGCAACTTTTGGCCAGCAGTCAAGGTTCTTAATGGCGCCCAGTTCTATTCACTGAAAAAGAGAGAAACAAAAAGCACTTGATGTCCTTTTCGACAAAGAACGGGATGGCAAGGGATGCTTTGCAGCATCTTGGACAGCGGGTGGCACTGTCAGCATGTCCTGCGCAAAAACCGGCAGGCCAAAGCAGCTGCTGAAGAACCACCTTCTTTATCTTTGGAATCTAGGTCTAGTGTAGTGGTAGTATGGGAAGGAACACCTGAACCATCTAAAGACTGAAGGACTAGCAAACCTTTTGGCATTCTTTGATATATTTTCAGAATGCAGTTCCTAGCATCGTTTAAAGTTCAAAACCACCCCAAATAATATGCTGCATGCATTCTGAAACATCTTTCAGGATCTATCCCAAAATGATCCCACATTACATACCAACCATGCTTCATGGTGCTTCACCATGGCTTCACCCATCCACACTGCAGATCCGCTTCGTCCAAACCGCCCCGGTCACCGGTCCCCGCCCCTCCGGTCACCGGTTCGGCTTCGGTCCAGCAGGGCAGCTCCAGCGCTGGGGACCATGTACAGCAAGGCTGGCGAGAGCGGCGGCGGCGCTGGGAATTTGGAGATGTTAGTAGTGACGACATGGAGATGTTATTATAGGCATAGGCAAATGTGGGGATGAGATGGATGTAGCAAATGTGACATCATAAGTTTAACTGAGTCAATCAGGAACGATACGTTCGACGTTGCAATCCATCTTTCGTTCGCTCATGCGATTCCTCCGAGGCGTTCCTACCTGCAATGCGGTCCACGGCGCCACTCATCTGCGCCTCCTGAGGCTCCACGGCTTCTGGGGTGTGCAAGTCCACATCACTAAGCCATAAGATGGAGCCATGCTTATCAAGCGCACAAACAAACAATCAAACACACTAACACATATTTGAAGATATATACATGGAATGGCAATGAGGGAATTGCAATTCTAGGAGTGGATTTTTCATTCTTTTTCAGCATGGCGTCTAGTCCTTTGGAAGATGAAGCGTGGTCTCTACATTACATGTGTCTCTACCGATTGAAGACTTCCTACCGCCAGTCAGCTAATGGGATGTCAAATATAAATGAAACTCACACAACCATCTGCAGCAACATAGCGGTAGCATGCTACTAGAACATGCAGAACATGCTTTTCCGAACCTCTGGGAAGGGGCAATGCGCACAAACTGTTTTGAGGAAGAGGCAAAGGTCATTATATATAACTATTATTTATGACTAGTGTGATTTGTTGCAAGCCCTCAAGAGATAGCAAAGAACTCACGTCGGGACCGTCGGGTCCTTAATGATCATGTCCTGCAGCTGTTGGTTGTTCCTCGCCCGGTCCACCAGGTCGTGCGCAAAATCCTCCGCAACTTTCATATTGCCTGACTTCTGCACACCAAATACGCTGCCCTAAGGCCCAGGCATTCGATTGAAAAACCAATCCAATGCCTGGACCACTCTTTTGTAGAGCTGGAGACGTTCTGGATTTGTCTGACCGTTTTCTTTTCACTGCTACGACTTCTTCCTTCAATCCAAAAAGAGCCTCTTATTTCAGGTCCAAAAGCTTGAGGGGCAAATCAATCCATCCTTCCGATCCAAAGACCTATCTCACCAAGCCATCCAGGTATCTTGTTTGGTGCGTCCAAGGCTGTTTTTTCTGCGAAACCATCGCCCAAGCCACAGTTGGACAAAAGGCGGATATCTGCGAAGGCTCTGGGTGTGTCCAAATCAATCGACCTTGCGATCGATCTGCAGCGACGCAGCGCGCTCCATTGAAACTAGTGAGAAATCTCCAATCACTTTCTCCGGACCTGGGTTTAAAGACAAAAGAACGATTCTGTTATTTTTTGGCACGATGGATTTAGGTTGATTTAGGGATCAAGAGATAGCCTGAGTTAGTAACACTGGCTAGACCATTGGCTGTTTGAAACGGGATCTGGCCACATCGCCCCGATGTCGCTCGCCGAGACACTGGTAGGACGCTGCCATCAAATACATCAAATGCTTTGGATACCTGGAAAGTATCAGAAAGTGGCAAAATGACAAACTGACCTGATGAGGTGGTTCTGAGAAAAGCACAAAGCAACTCTTGAGCATCTGATACAGTAGAATAATATTATTGGGACACAATGTGGTGGTTGATTTCTCTAGGATTGCGTTGCACGTCTGGAAGTGACTGTAGCCCTCATAACTCCGCGAAAACAGTGACTCAGCCGAACAAGCAACCTGTCCTTTGCAAACACTCAGAATCCACTCAAAATAGACTATATATACCTGATTAAACCTAACACAAGGACCCTTGGTATTCCATCATCTTCCATAAATCCACCTCACCGGGCCCGAAATCAAACACTCACTTTGATGGGCCACACCTCAGTCGGACGCCGAGTCCGACTTTGGTGGCGTCCGACGGGATGTCTGGCTGCGATCGAAGCTGCTGCGTCTCTGCGGCGATCTCCAGAGGGATCTTCTGCTGAAGGAAGGGGTCCTGATTGCGGATGGAATTTTCCACAGCAGTCTGTAGCATCCTTGCTGTCATCATCCTACAAAGCATGGGAGGTTCACATCCCCCCACACACACATGGCTTTAAACAATTATATGTTTTCAGTAGCATGGCTCTGAGGTTGATTTACCGGTCCTGTGATACCAGGTACCACGCAATGCGTGGTTGCAAATGTGTATAGGTCTTAGGTTCCCTTCGTGGAGTTCCGTATCACCAAAAACATCAATACATAATTTAACATTTCAAGGCAGGTGGCTCTTATGGCAATCCAAAAGCCTGATGACACATGACCATCCACTGAAAACTGCACAAGCTGGGCAGATTGGGGAGTGCTCAAGAGGTTGGCCAGTGAGGACAATTGATAACGATTCTTCCTCGGAGGCAGAATTCTAGGTCAAAAATCTTGGGGCGTGCAGGTACTTCGATCATGCGTGTTGGCCAAAACATCTGCAAGGATCGAAACATGCTAACTGATCATCTCACATAGCAGGGAAAAAGTAGATGAATGCCATTGAATACCTAAAAGATCCTCATAGCGTAGGGCTCTTCCATCTTGACTTGAGACCTCCAACATGTCAATCACCACCAACTACTGGACCTCCCAAACATCAAGCCGTTTCCATCAAAACGACAAAGATCTGTAAGAACCTGGGATGTTTCTGCCCTACCAAAACTTCAACAACTCAAATGGGTTCAAATGGAATTGACAAAATGATATGGAACCCAAATGTGTCGAAACCTGTTTACCAATTGAGAAGTCAAATCACACCGAATATGAAAGTGCCATATCCATCCAGATTCCCGAATTTCTCAAATTCCCACGCATACGTTCTTCGCCCGAGCAGCACAGGGATACGGCGGACGAGCAGAGAAGGACCTCGCCTCGGTTCCAGCAGCTTTCCGCTGAGCGGCGACAGACTCGGTGCCGACCAAGTCACCTAATCCTTCGGTGTCGACAAAACAGGTGAGTCTTCAACAAAGTGAGGGAAGGTGTGCTACCCAACAGGTCTCCAACAAGGGAGGGAACAAAGTCTCCAAGTCCACCCGGGTCTGCACCTGCCACTTCCACAAGTCTCCATCTTTGGCCACCATTTCGGAGAGAAGGTGGACTAAATGGATGAGAGAAGGTAGCACCTACCCTTTGGCCGTGTCTTGTCGAACAGGTCCTTTCAGGTCATGACCTTCAGTCATGGCGAACACGTCTAACATCGCCAAGGCACGTCCAAGTTCGCCTTACAGTCCTGAGCGGAAGGCTGCTCTCGGGCTGCTCCGGTTCGAAGGACGTTCACGAAAACGACCGGGGCACCGTCTCCGAAGTCCGGTGCCATCCGGGAGAAACTCAACGACCGGGAGCCACGGAGGCTCCCATCGCCCACCCCAAATAACACGGATCCTTTTCGGCGCAAGGCCAAACTCGGTTCGACTCGTCACAGACCCGGTTCGTGGGGAGGATCATCTCCACGAGTCTTCATTGAAAAGACTGGTTGGTGGACCTCACAGTACATAGTCCATTCTGTTCATTTGGATGGTTTCCCAAACATTTCCCGGTTTTGACCCATAGCCTCAAGACTTTGAATTGACACTGAGCCGCTGGTGTGCGGGGCTTTCGGCCACCTGTACTCCTTTCTCCTTGTTGGAAGACCACTTATATAAATTCAATTATGCAGTGATTGGTTTCAGAGTAGATGGCACAACATGAGAAATATCAACTGACCCGGTTCAGTCCAAATGAACCGTCCACTTCGATCCCGAGGTTGGAACAACCTGCTCCAAAGAGATCATACCGAAGGCTCCAGCAACTCCAGGACCACTTCTTGCACCTCTGAGTCCATCAAGTTCCCACGGCCTAAGGCTGACATAGGCCGACGCATGGCCGACGCATGGCCAGAAGCACCGTGGTTTGGAAGCACCAGATCAGCGAAGCGACCAAAAACGGTTGGTCAATGGCCGATGGGACGGACATCCATGGCCTGGGACCCATCAAAGGACTGCACGAGGAAATCATAATCAATAGTTTCGGTGCTTAAGACCCCTAACACATCCAAAACCCATCTCCAGGACTTGCTGCAAACAAAAGTGTGGGCATCCTAGTGATCGACCAGGACTTGGTTCGTGCCCGGTTCCGGCGCCGGCTTCGACCTCGGCGCCCGCCTCCAACCAGCGCGATAAAGTGCAGGGGTGTACACCCATCCTGGCGCATCAGTTTTTGGAGGTGATCGACGGATGGGGTTGGTTCATGTCCCAAACACTCCATAAAACTGGCATACCATACATACCAGGAACTATACCAGGACCATCCAATGGGTGTCTAATGGACTACACTACACTACTTACAAGTCTCCATTGGGCGCCCACTGGATGGTCCAGGTATTTACCATTCGTATATTTGTAGCGAGGGTTTCGTGAGCGAAACAAAGCCCATGGCGGGCCTCCACAATCATCACCTTCAGGTGGGCCCGAACTCTGTCGTGATCCCTTCGGACCCCTTCGGTCCTTGTTCTGCGCGTCGGCCTGCGCTTTGTGGCGCAAGAGCCAAAGCACCTGAACGAAGGAATGGGCCACTTTTAAAATATAACATGAAACTTGGATACTCTTGAGCAACCATCAGATTCATCGGATTTTTTTCCCCACCTGTTAGGGGAGGGTTGTGAGATGTTTTTACAGATTCAGATAGCCTTCTTCTCCTTCTCCTCCTTTCTCCTCCTCCCTGATCTCAACAGCAAGCGCCAGATCGCAGCGGGCAGTCTCGGACTTCAATAAACTTCAATAGCAAGTGCCAGATCGCAGTGGGAAGTTTCCGACCTCGACACACAACATAGCTACAAACACAACACACAAAACGCAACCATGATACAACCACAACCACAAACAGGCAAGCCACAAACAAACAAACCACAAACACAATGAGAAACAAAACCACAAATACAATCACAAACACACAATGACACACATACAACCACAAACACACAACCAGAAACACAAACTCACAAACACAACCACAAACACACAAATACAACCACACAGCCACACACATACAACCACAAACACACAACCAGAAACACAAACTCACAAACACAACCACAAACACACAAATACAACCACACAGCCACAAACACACAACCACAAACACACAATCACAAGTGCACAACCACACACACAACCACACACACAACCACAAACACACAACCACAAACACACAATCACAAGCGCACAACCACACACACAACCACACACACAACCACAAGCACAACCAAAAACACACAATCACAACCACAGACACACAACCACACAACCACAAACACACAATCACAAAACCACGACCATACACACAATCACAAACGCACAGCCACAAACACACAAACACACAATCACAAACACACACCCACCATCGCAAACGCAACCACAAACACGATCACAACACACAGGCGCAAACACAATCACAACAACCACACAAACACAACCACAAACACACAACCACAACAATATAAGTACATGTGTGTGTGGCATTTTTAGCGTGGCAGGTGGTCACAGGGTAGCACTCTTGGAGACCCTGACGACACCACTAAAATAACAATCCCAAACCCGAGAACCCGTAAGAAAAATCGACAACCACAAAACCCACGACCATGGCATGCCATGCTCCTCACGCCATGAAAACAAATGATTGAAATGCCACGGTGCGGATCACTCGATACTCAGAGTATAGTTTTTTTGAGTTTTTGAATAGCCTCTCGACTCTCGTGTCCTCACGTGAGAATGCACGATGTGGTGTGGCTTGACAGGTGGAGACCCGGCGCTTTACATGTGGAGATGCGTCGGGTCTGTGGCACTTCTACAAGGAGCTACTCAGTCCGGAGCTCTCTTCAATTGTATTTGATTTGTACAAGTTAGGTATAGCCATGTATATGTCATTTTGCAGTAACAGATGCCAACATGTGGATGATGGGCAAAGAATGGTAAAGACATGTAAAGACCTTTCCCAATTTCAGTGAAGCTTGCCTTTCCCGAATGTCACTATGATGGGACACATCTTATCGTTCGAAGCCACGAGCCACGTGGGAGCCGTACGACAGTCTGCACCGACAGTCTCTGGTTTCTGGGAGCCGTGACCGCATCCTTTTGACCCAAATAGGCGGCATCATGAATGGGACCTGAATAGGCACCATGAGTGGCGGAAGGAAGGATCCGGCTAAGATGGACAGCAAAGAAGAACAAAGCTGATCCAAAAAGCTTCAAAAACTGCTCCAACTCATCATCGGATCATTATGATAAACAAGGTGATCCGAACAAGCAAAAACAACATCCAGTACTTGGTCGCAGCCACCATCAAACGCTTCTGCTCGGCTTCGGAACGTTTGGAATGCGGCGACACGCCAGAAAAGGCAAAGTCAAGGCGGGCCAAGGTGCTGTAAAAGTCAAAGCGCTCGGGGCTTCCTCGAAGATTCACCTGGCAAAAAAAGCATCTAAAAGAAGTCCCCCACTAAGTAGTCGGCAAAAGTAAACATGTATCATATATAGAAAATGCGCCTTTCTGACCTCCCATGTGGACCTTCCCAAAAACTGTTGAGAGTTCCGAGAGAGAGAGAGAGAGTGAGTGACAAACACACACACACACAGGGCAGGAGACATGGCGGCACCATGCCCCCAACGTGCAGCGCGGAAGCGCCCCACATGGGTGGTGGTGGACCTATAGCTTCGCCCTAAAATGGCCAGGTGTCCTGTCCAATCAGCCGCCGCCGTTTCATCGACCGCATCATACTCTTACAAAAACCCTCAGAGCCAGGCTCTTGGCATTCTCAAGCCTTCCTGAGGCCTTGTCATTCTCTACCCCAGCTCGAAGCAACAGCCCAACAACTTTCTTATGATCTTGTTCAGCTACCAAATGCAAAGCTGTTTTCCCACGTTGCGGCCAAGGCTTTGTCTCCGAACTTCAAGCAACAGTTCAACAACTTTCTCATGACCTTGTTCAGCTAAGAAATGCAAAGCTGTTTTCCTGTGGTGTGGGCCTTGTCTTTGTCTGCCCGCGCTTGGAGCAACAGCGACACAACTTCTACATGGCCTTGCCCAGCTGTAACATGTAAAGCCACTGCCCCATTTCTGGCGGCTTGATCCTTGTCAGCCCCAGCTATGAGTAGCAGCCGCACATTGACCACATGAAAGCCGTTTCACAACTTGGGATGCTGGCCCTGTCTTTGTCAGTCCCGGCTTGAAGAAACGCACTTGAAAGCACAAGGCCGCAGACTTGTGCAACGCTGTGACTCTCTCCAAATCCGGCGCTCTCTGCTCTGGAAAAGCAGAGTAGAAACTATTGCGTCCCGAAGAAGGCCTGGATGATCGAGACTTCTAAGGACCCCGATGATTGGCTTCTGCAACTCTTCCACTCGCCCGGGGTCCTGAGACCCCACATGCCCGCCGTGCTGCCCGAGGATCCTGAAGCTGCCCAACCAACGAGGCTGCCCAACCAACGAGGCTGCCCAACGAGGCTTCGGTGGAAAGCCGTTGCGACATCTGCAGAGGCCTGGCCCTTCTTGGCCACACCGGTCTTTTGGGCGCTCGCTTTGCCACACCCGTCGTCGGCTCTGCTTCGGTTGCCGGGAGAAATCCCGGTCGAGAGAGAGAGAGAGAGCGGACATGAAGCGTCAGAGATCTGGCGGCCTGGTTTCTCAACCGTCAAAAGGCGATGAAGTTCTATTCTCTTGACTTGGTTTGTCCAAAAATAGTGGTCTGATGTCTTGTCTGTTCAACTCTTTTTCAGGAATTTGTAGCTTCCGGACATGAAACACTGGATTTGCACCACAAGAGACGTGTTTCAAGCACCTGACCAGGTCCTCCTATAGGTCGTGAAATTCTCACCTGCGGCACTGGCCCAATCTCAGTGTGCTGGCCAACCGTCTCAGAGTGTTTTGTTCATGTCTTTGGTCCATGGTCAAGCCTCCGGTTTGGATGCGCAAAAAATGCTTCACATCCGACGTGTTTGGGTCTTCTTCGTGTGTAACTTCCAACGTCCAATCGTGGTGTGTAACCCGCGGAAACCGGGCCAAGACCCCCACCGTGGCGGGGCTGGAGACGAGTCCTCAGCCGCCGAAGAATCAGCGTGGCGTCCGAAGGGTGGGTTGTGGTTGGGCTGCACACTAGCACTACCAGTCCGGGCCCACCAGCAAACAGAAGGAATCACCAGCCACTCTTGCTCAGTGCTACAACTACTTGGTAACGTGTAGCTGGCCTACCAGCCTTGGGGCTGCTGATCTGCATGACCTGCAAGCATTCTTGACACATCCTCCGGCCACATGACCAATCGATTGACTCAGGATGTCCAAATAATAAGGTAAACACGGACGCCTTTCAACCCAACCCACAGTTGCCACCCCTTCCCCCTTCTCAGTGTCTCACCCCGACCCGACCATTCCCTCCGACCCGAACCGCGACCCGACCGACCTCCCTGCCGCGACAAGGCGCGGCGCACGTCCACGTCTCCGCAGCATAAGGCTTCCATGGCCTCGACAGAGCCCAAGCCGGCAGCGATGTGAATGGCTCCTAGCTCCGTTTCGTAGGCCACCTCAGTGTTTCGCCGCTGTTGAGGTCGTTTCGAGCCAAACTCAAAGCTCCCCCTTACGGTCGAACCGAAGATGCCTGAAGGTCGGACTAGTTGGGGCGATGGGTCTGCGATTTGGGATGAGAAAGGCCAACTTCATGGAACATGTGGGTCTGGCTCTGGTGTGAAAATGGCTTGGAGGAGATATCTTAACCGGAAGGGGACTTCCGCAAGCAGGCCCGCAAGAAAGACCAGTGGCCTGATGATCCAATCTCCTAGCTGCTTTGAGAAGGTGGAGTCCAACATGACCATATCATGACCATTGTCTACAAGGAATCTGAAAGAGTTCTCTCTCTCTCTCTATATATATATATATATATAGATGTGAATAGCATGTCGCTTTGGATGAAATCACGATTCCGAAATGTTTAACTCTCGAGGTGGCCCGACGCGGCCCTATGTGCAGGGGACAATGCACATGTGAAAAGGGTCTTGCTGCCCACAGTGGTAGCGGAGCCAGGTTCGGCCCTTGGACCTGGCTCGGTTGGTTGGTTTTGTTTGGGGTGTTTTGGGGTTGTCCCTGGTTGGTGGTTCGCTTTGAGCCATGCCCCCGGTTGCGGCTGCGACAGCAGCCGATGGTTCGTCGAGGCCGGAAGGCCAGGAGTTTGATGAAGGGCTTCCACGCCCTGGTGACTTGGATGAAGAGGAACTGGCCGAAGAGGCCTTTGACAGTGATGAGTTCCGGGCATTTCTTCGAGCCCGGTATCCACACCGCCAACACCGGCGGCGCCATGGCAGCTCGACCAGGAGTGCCGATAGTGACTTGGGCGACGGTGGTAGCAGCTTTGGAAGCAATGGGCCACCGCCAGAGTGGGATGGCGAATCCCTGGCCTTTCAGGACTATGCCATCAAGGCCAGGTTGTGGCTTGCTACCACCAAGGCCCGTCCCCGTGCACGAGGGCCGCTACTCCTTCAGAAGTTGACGAAGACCCCCTTCGAGACCATGAAATATCTCGCCCGGGATCGGGCGTGGATGACCAGCGATGGCAATGGCGATGAGTTGATCGCCCTCATGGAGCTCCCCGAGAACTTCGGTGAGGACCGCGAGGAGGACCTGTTGGCCGCCTTGGCGAAGATCACCTTCCATCTTCGCCGAGGCAAGGATGAGCACTTTCGAGCCTTCTTCAGCCGCTGGGACGTGGCAATGAGGAAGGTGACTGAGCACTCCGTCGTTCTCCCCGAACGGTACGTTGGTTTCTTGCTCATCAATGCCTTGGTGCTCTCCGATGCCGACATCAAGTCGCTCCTCAACTACTCTCGAGGGTCCATCAAACCCGGAGACATCCGGGAATGGATCCGCAAGCACGAGACAAAGCTCCAGGCCTCGCAGGTCGGGATTGAAAAGGAAAAGAAAGGAACTATGACCACGAGTTCTCGGACGACATCCTCCGCTGCTGCCCACTACATCAATGCCGAGCCCAATGACCTGGAGGATGACGAGATCTATGCTGTGGAGGAGGCGCTTCAAGACCTCCAAGGTGAAGACGAAGAAGGACACGATGGAGAAGACGGTGATGGAAGTGTTCTCGAAGAACACGAGGCCGCGGAGGTGCTGAGCACCATCTTGCAGCAGAAGAAGAAGACCTACATGCAGACCCTCAAGGCCAAGAAGGCGAAGGAGCTGTCGAGAGGATATTCCAACACCTTCAAGGGCAAGACCAAGAGCTTCACGATGGTGGGGCACAATGCTCCTTTCAAGGAAGGGAACTACCGCATGACCGTGGAGGAGTTGAAGAAGGTCACCAAGTGCGCCATCTGTCGGAAACCCGGTCACTGGCACAAGGAATGCCCTGACAAGGACCGAGATCGTGGAGCCCCGAAGGAGGCCCATGTGTTGGAAGAGGCCATCTTCTGCGGCCACCTTGAGGAGCACCCGGGTGAGGGTGCTTTTCTCCCTGGAGGTGAACGCCTGAGCGATGAAATCTCCGCAGATGTCCCGGGTCATGGCGGCCCGGGATCTAGTGATCGACACCTGATGGCACCTCACGTCGAGAGTGCATATATGGCCGAACTCCAGGGTGACCCTTGGGAAGGTGGCTCTAGTAGTGATCACGATATTTTTGGGGTTATGTATGGGGAAAGTCCGAAACTTGTTTCCGAACCCGTCCGATCGAACCCATATCCCGATGAATGTTGCGCAACCATCGACACCGGTTGCCAACGAATGGTAGTGGGCCGGCAGACCCTTGAACGACTCGCTCAACGCCTCCCTCCTGGACTCCCAGTCAGGACCAAAGATCAGACCCACCGTTTCAAGAGCGTCCATGGGATCTCGAGCACCCAAGTCGTCGCGGCAGTTCCGACAAGCATTGGAAAGAAGGGCTCATACTTCATGCCGGCCGTCTTCGACAACCCCGAGAGTGTGGCCGCCCCCTTCTTGATCAGCCTGCCCTTCCTCATCTCGTGTAGGGCGGTGATCTACCTCGATAATGAGACAGGACTCCGGGTGCGGTTCAGGAAGCAAGGGTTTACGGTTAAATGTCACCTAGGACCCACCGGTGCCCTTCGGATTCCGTTGTGTGAGTTCACCCCCGGTCAATTGGAATCTCTCAGTAAAGAGGTCAGCGGCAACAACCAAGAATTTGAGGTACTCAAGACGGAACAATCACATGATCCCGCCGCAGACAGTTTTTCCCAGACCAAAACCGGAGCCCCTGACAACGAGCGTGAACCTCCGAAGCAATTCCCCTCTCATGGAAGCCATGCCGGAGCTGAAGCGACCTCGAGGACCACGAGAGGAGGCCCACTTTCCCTCTCTCTGGGGATGGAACCGTCTGCTTCGGAAGTTGCTCTATGTCATGCAAGGGCTCAAACAGCAGTGGCAAAAGGAGGGTGCTGGGAGCGTCTTCGTGGCTGCTTGCCGCTCAACGTGTTGCTCGAGAACCTGATGAAGCGGCCGACGGAGGCCCGCGACCTACATCCTCCTCGCCATCGATTACCCGATCCGGAAGAAGAACGAGCGCCTGCGCCCCGAACTCCGACCAGGACCACCAGCGAAGCCTCATGGGAGAGAATGAGCTTGAATTCAGAGCTCCTTCAAGCCAGTCCCGGGTCCTCCCAGGGAGATGTGACTCAGCTGCTCGAAGAGATGAAGGAGATCGTTGGACCACCGCCCAAATGCGGTCATGGACGTCTATGCCGACTATTCCTGAGTCGCACGGCGAAGAACAACCGCCGTCTCTTCTGGAGGTGCCCGATGGATCGACAAGGACAGTGCTCCACCTTCCAGTGGTGCAATCGGCAACCACTCCGTCCGGATCTCGATCACCTGGAGGAGCCTTCACCACAACCGATGAGGAGGGGAGCCCCATCGTCGTCCACCACACCGCAGGTACCACCACTACCCCGACGCTGCCCGCATCGGAACATCAGCCGAGCGGGGACCAATGCCTTCAAGATCATGGAGAAGTGTCTGGACTGCAACCGGACCCTAGTGGACGAGCCAACCCCTCTGGGAATGGAAAAGGCACAGAAGCGCCGGGAACAGAAGGACCAAAAGTCCCTCTACATCACTCGACTGACTCGCCAACATCCGGGAGCTCAGTACCAAGAGGGATACCCTCCGCCTCGCTACCCGATCTACCAGGAGGACATGAACAATCTCACTCCGGCAATGGCCCACCGCCTGCAGCAGTCGGGAGCTCTTCAGTCGGGGGGGATTTGGGAGGACGGTCCCTACCAGGGATGATCAAGGCCGAGGAGAGTCAGCTGAGCGGTAGGAAGTTGAAGCGCTTGCTGCGACAGGGACAGGGTGCCCTAGCAGAAGCCCACCAAATGTGGCAGAACCTTATGACTTGCCTACAAGAGCCAGAGGGACCTAATCCCTTTGACCAGCTGCTCTGTACAGTAGCCAATTCAAAAACTCCGAATTGTAAATTCGTGCACCGTTTGGCCAAACTCCTGGGACCTTCCACAGGAAAGAAACAAGCTAAGCTGGTCGCAGAGGTTTACAACCCGAATCGTTTCTCGAGCCGTTCGAAACGACATGGTTTACGAGCCGGCGAAGCGTTCGACCTCGAACTCGGACATGACTTGACTAAGGAAACCTATCGTAAGACAGTTCGCGAGTATTTGAACAAACATAAACCAGGGCTGGTGTGCATCTCCCCTCCTTGTACCATGCTGTCCATGTTGCAGAATTTGAGTCTTAAATCCCGAGAGTCCGACCCTCACAAACAACGGGAATACCATAGGAGACTCATGGAGGCCAAATTGTTGTTAGGATTTGCGGTGGAACTGTGTCACATGATTCATGAATATGGGGGTACCTTTCTATTTGAGCATCCATGGACATCCAAGGCCTGGCAGGATCACCGCCTGAGGACCCTCCTTGAAGATCCGGCTATCTTCCTCACCAAGAATGACCAATGCCAGTTTGAGCTCAAATCTATCGAGGGTGACTACCATAAGAAGCCCACTGGATGGATGTGCAACAACAAGGTCTTGGCCAGTGCACTTCACAAAGAATGCCCAGGCGACCACCCTCACCGACCAATCCTTGGATCCTCACACGGAATCCAAAGATCAGCCTATGCGGCTAGGTACCCTACAGCTCTGGTAGACCACATCCTTAAGGCTTATAAGGCCTCCATCTCCTACACCGAGGAGCTCTATGTCTCCCACACCGACGACCTCTTCCAGGAGAGCTACCAAGTGGACCGACTCATGGAGATCATGGCGAGCGAAGAAATGGAGTCGGAGGAGGGACCTCAAGCTGATCCTCATGAACCACTGCCAGTTTGTGATCTAGGAGAAGATGAAATACCGGAAGAAGACCATCATGCTGAACGACCTCTACCTCTTGAACGACCAGGTAGCATTGAAAGCCTTGTTCGGAGAGCGCACTGCGGACTAGGACACCCAGGAAACCAAAAACTAGCAAACATCCTGAAGACCGCCAAGGCCTCCACGGAAGCCGTCAACATCGCCAAGAATCTTGTGTGTCCGACTTGCATCAGACACAAAAGAGTCGATGGGGCACGACAGGCCGCTCCTCCTAGGCAGTTGAAACCAAACCAGGTGGTGGGAGTGGACACCGTATGGCTACCGGGAGTTGAACCTGGCGGCAAACTCAAGATGGCCCTCAACTGCGTTTGCTGGGCCACTCGATTTCAGTTGATGATCCCTGTAAAAGACCACACACCTCAAGGAGCAGTTCGGGCATTTCACCAGTGGCTCAGAGTTTTTGGACCACCAGAGGCCATCTATTGTGACCTTGGAAAAGAGTTCAAAGGACACTTCGAGCTCATGGCGGACCAGAACGACATCTACCTGGACCCAGGATCCTTAGAGATGCCAACTCAAAGAGCCATCACGGAACGAGCTGGTAGAAGCTTTAAAGAAGTCCTGTCGAAAACACTAATGGAAGCAGGTTGCTCATCTTGGGACGAGTGGCACCTCATCGTGGACGAGGTCAACGCTACCATGAACCGCCTGTCCAACAAATCCGGCTTCAGCCCCATTCAACGGATGCTTGGTTACAGTCCCAGACTTCCAGGAGGCATCTTTCAAGGAGGTGAAGGTAGCATTGGAGTGATGTCCCGTTATCACGCAGGTGATGCACAAGTTCAACGATCCACAGACATTCGAACCCAAGCCGCTGTTGCATTCCATCAAGTCGAGTGCGAACAAGCCTTGAAACACTCGGTCTATGCAGGCCCCAAACGGTTCTACGACTATGAGGTGGGTCAAACGGTCTACTTCTGGAGAAAGGGAATGGAACGACAGAAGAAGGACTCGCCAGCCTTTTGGCATGGGCCTGGCAAGGTCATCCTCACGGACCTCCCGAACACAATATGGGTCAGCTATAGAGGAACTCTCGTGAAAGCAGCTCCCGAACACCTTCGTCCCATAACCAATGACGAAAAGTTCCAGTTCATGGACTTCTTGACCGACATTGTCAACACCCAGAAGGAGATCCAGAACCACAAGATTAGAAACTATATCATCCTCGATGAGAAGCCCCCGGCCATCGAGAATGCACCCTTACCAGAACAAGAAGAAGATCGTGATCGACCTGACGAAGAGGAACCACCACCACCAAAGAAACCTCGGTACCGAATTGAAGGAAAAACAGCAGAGACCGAGGTCGAGTTCAAACCGGAAGAAAGGGAACCAGCCTTGGAGGGAGATCTCGACCATCCGGAACCTATGTCTATGTCGCCCAGGATGGATGACTACACACCTACCGAACCAGGTGACCAAGATCCCCACGAAGAGCGTGAGAGAAGGATGATTGAAGATGAGGACAACCACAAGGCCTCGGAGAGACCCACGTCACCACGGTCTACTCCAGTGATCCGCGAGAGAGTGGAGGACCCTGAACCACCAGTCAAACGAATCAGGACAGAAGCTCTGGAACTACTGTATCAAGAACTCGTCCGGCTTCGAACACAAAAGGGCAAGGAGATTGTACTCAACAAGCTCCCCGCCAAGAAGAAAGAGAAATTTCTCAAGGCCATCCTCAAGGAGGTGACCAACAACCTGAGCTCAGGTGCCTACGAGGTCCTCGATCGGGGTGAATCTGAACATATCAGGAGAACCAAAGCGGAGAAGATCATGAAGTCCCGCTACGTCCTCACGGAGAAGGGAGTCGAGGTGGAGGAAGTCGAGAAGCTCCAACAAGACGGCCTACTCATTGAGGACAATGATCCATCTCTCGGACCCCAAAAGGCGAAGGCCAGACACGTCATGAAAGGCTTCTCGGAACAAGGTGCCGTGGACCTTGCCTCGACGACCCCTCAGGTCGCAAAAGAAACCGTTTTCTTCACCTTACAAGTGATATCCAGTATGAGATGGGAACTCGGACACCTGGACTTCACCCAAGCATTTCATGCTGGAGATCTGATAGCTCGGGAACTTTATGCTGAACTACCCCCTGAAGGACTTCCAGGATATCATCCACGGCAACTCCTACGCTTGAAGAAAACTTGCTATGGACTCACCGATGGTCCTTACGCCTGGTACCAACACATCACCAGGGTTCTCCAGGAGTTGGGGTATGAGAAGAGCCGAGCCGACCCATGTCTTTTCTACCTCCGATGCCGCCAAACCAGGAACACGGTCGGCATCATCGCTCTCGCCACTGATGACATGGTCCATGGAGGTGGAGTACAACACTGGAAGAACATGAAGTGGCTTCAACAGAACTACAAGATGGGTAAGTTCACCACGGGAGAAGGGAAATTCACTGGCAAGGAACTAACTCCGGAAGCCAACGGGTCCATTCGAGTTACCCAAAAGAACTACATCGAGAACTACATCAAGAAGATCCCTCTCAGTCGTGAACGTGGAGCTCAGAAATACTCTCGATGCTCGGAAGAAGAAATCGGACAGCTTCGGCAGCTTATTGGAGGCCTGAGTTGGGTGGCCAAAGAATGTCGACCAGACATTGCTGGACGAGTCTCACTTCTTCAGCAAACTATGCCTCACCCCATGATCTGGGACATTGTAGAAGGAAATAGCATCGCAGAAGACCTCCGAAGAACCTCTGACTTGGGATTAAGAATCCAACCAATACCACTCTCCAAGCTCAGGATTGGAGTAGCTACCGACGCTTCTTGGGCCAATGCCGGTCCCAACGCCGACTGTGACAACACCAAGGACTACTGGACGGAAACACCCACAACCTGGGTCCGACACCATGTCGCACCACGTCGCTTAACCTTCCATCCCGGTTCAGTGATTGATCCAAGTGGCCCAGATCTGCACCAGATCACTAGAGACCGTAGAACACAAGCTGGAAGCCAGATCGAACATGACCGGTGGGATGGGACAGATGGTTTCAAAGACCTAGGTGCCCAATGGACAGGTACCACCACCTTCTTCAAGTCCAAGGACAAGAAGGTCACGAACCAACCCCTGTCTGAACGATTCCTCCAACTGGCTAAGAAACACAGTCAAGGAGGATACCTCCTTTTCTACTACCACCAGGATCTAGAAACCTCTGACCACAAGCAGGACATCACGATTGCTGGTTGGAAGAGCTATAAGCTCAAACGCTGCACAGTGAACACCCTGTCGGCAGAGTGCCAATCGATGCTTCAGGGCATCGGCAACCTCCACTGGCATCGCTTCTTGCTGGCCGAGCTGTTCGATGTCAATCTTCAGATTGATAAATGGGAGTCACAGCTGGCCAGCTTTCCTTTTGTTGCAGCCACAGACTCAAAGTCCCTCTACGACACGATGACCAAGTGTCGCAACACCTCAGCACACATAGATGACAAGCGCACTGGCATCGACCTCACCATCCTCAAGAGTGACTTGGCACATTCATCGGGTCAGGTGAGGTGGGTCGGAGGAGGAAACATGATTTCGGACCCCTTAACTAAAAAGATGACGCCGTCGTTTTTGAGAAGGGTCATGGAGATTGGCCAATGGTCGCTGAAAGAGCAGGGCCATACGGAGATTTCATCCAATAGAGAGTAGCTGCGATGTGAATAGCATGTCGCTTTGGATGAAATCACGATTCCGAAATGTTTAACTCTCGAGGTGGCCCGACGCGGCCCTATGTGCAGGGGACAATGCACATGTGAAAAGGGTCTTGCTGCCCACAATAGAATATATATATATATATAGTTTGCTGGATATGCAATGCAGCAAATGGCAGCTTGCTGCGCCAGCTCGGCCTCCCCAAGCTCCGACCAGGACGAGTGGAACAGCTCCATCCCTACAAGCTACGACGTCGGGTTCCACTGTTGTAGCTCCTCTCCCTTTACGATATCCTTTTCTCAGGGCCCGGGAGAACCCCCCAGCTCCATACCAGCTCCATCTCTCGCCACGGCGCTTCGCCCCTGAGTCGCCGCGAAGAGGTCAGAGGGGGTGTCCCAAATCCAAAACCGAAAGCTCCATGAAACTGGCATCTTTACCTACGTTTAGGTGGTGTTCGCAGATCAATGTAGTCTATAGACAGACATATTAATATTGCATGCAGTATTTGGAAAAGATTGTATAGTAAAAAGAGATATAAAGTACATTTGCATGTGTTTGCAGTTGATTCATCCGGCTACCCATGGCAAGGAAGTATGAAAGGACACCACAAATCGGACTGAGGTCGTTAGAAGCTAAATATATAAGTCACACTTCACAGCTTGCTGGTCCATGCTGAGAGGTGTCACTTGAGTATGGGTTCTTGCTGATCACCAGGCTTCTTCTATGCCTGGCGCCACCCGGTGCACCACTCGGCGCACCACCCGGGTGCACCACCCGGGTAAAAATGGGAGTGAGCCCTGTTGAAACAGCATCAAATGACAAATCAGCAAGCAAAAACACCAATAGAGATTTGCTGCTGATGAAAGCCCTTTAACCATTCCCATCAGTCTGCAGACTGCAATCTGGAAAACCGAAGCACGGCCTTTCTCCAGAAGGAATCCAAACAAGTACAAGGGAGTATAACTCCTACAGTGCTTTTGGGCTGTCAGAAGTCCTCAACACACTCAAACACACTCAACCTCAAACGCACTCCTAACTTGGTTGCTGTCCTTCAGATATTTTAATATATTTTCCACATTCGATGTGTATCCAAGATGGGTAAGCAAACCAACACTACATGGCGCACCTCTAGAGTCTTTAATCCTACCACATCTGATCATCCTCATTGACTCATCCTCATCCCATCCCATTGATGAGTCTTTCGGAAACGATGGCAACATGTCTCCAAGCAAGGAAGATCCTCCAGTCAAATCTCCAAACACGACATGAACCATATGGAACCATACAATCTTGACACACGCACACTCAGTTCGAATCCCACTTGTCTGGCTTAAAAAACTTGCTTTCACATACGGTCTCTGATACATTTCTCGGCATTTCTCTATAGGAAAGACAAAGCCCCCCAAAGAACTGCCTTTTCTCCATGTTCTCCGAAAGCCCTGGTGTGGCCCAGGCGCTTCACGGTGGTATACATGGCCTTCGCAAACACGTCGGCCTTGGCCTCCAGCACCTGCCGCACGCAGCCGCCTGGGCGGAGGCCGTCGTGTGTGAGTGGTGGGCGTTTTCTTAGCTGAAGAACTTGGTTCAGGGCTCTCCATCACAACATTGATGTGAACAGAATATGAACCATGAAATGGATTCGGATCAGGGTTACCCAAGCGCACAGTCAACATTTCAACAGGTGCCCACGGTGCCTATACCCTGCCAATGGCCAGGTTTAAATTCATCAAGTACAATTAGACCAGAGTTGCTTGGGGGGGTTAATGTCCTACATTTCCTATTTTCGATTCTTTTGCATTCTCAAATCATCCGTATAGGCCGTCTGAAAAAGCAGCTATAGGCCTTGTTGTCAACAGCCATCAGCAGCTGCAACTTTGACTGCCATGAGATCGCCAAGAAACAATATTGCAAACAACAAACAATAGCAAACTTATTGTACAAACAGAACCTTTGTAACGTCAAAATTGACGTTACTAACATGATAACCATCCCGAATTTAACCTGGACGATCGCAAAACCTTGGACGATCCCAACATTGCACCGCCTGACTTGAAACTGGCCCGAGTTTTCCACGACGAATTGCAGCGCTTCTGCGGCTGAAGGCACCGTTTTGAAGTCGCGCTGCTTCCATGACCGCAAAGTGGAGCACTTGACAGCGGGTCACCAAGCGGTTCTTAAACAAGACCTGGGAGGCGCATGGTGGGGGTCAGTGCCCTCGGTGCCCTCTACGTCCGGCCAACAAAGACTCCAAGACGGCAGGTGTTGGATGTTTTTCTTGAGCGTGTGTCAAGTTGACGTGTCCACAACACGCATCCTATATATGTCTCATCCCAAGTTCATCCATTCATCTTCACAGAAAAAGAGCGGTTCACCGCCGGAAGATGAACATCCCTCGTCCAACCCTCCTCCCTCCCTCGTCCCCATCCTGGGCGGTCCCCGGGGTCCCGGACGCATTTATAGAACTCTTGGTTGATGGGATCGGTGTTCGTGCCCCTGGGCCGGAGCCAGCACTGGACCGGAACTGAGACCTGAAGGCCTTTGTACAAGGGATTGGTCCTTTGTCGGGACCACCGGGCAACCGGGCAAACCGGGCAACCAGGCAAAACCGTTGTACAATGGGTGCACGTTTAATTTGGTATGTTTTTCATTTTTTCGGATATTTTTTCAAAAACATTGGAATAGAACAGGTTTCTTATTCCTATATAGCTAATTACGGCAATTTTGTAACCTTAGCCGAGACACAGGTGTGGTAGCTGGCCAAATACATTGGAATAGTGCAGGTTTCATATTAATTGCTAGCTGATTAGACTAATTTGGGAGCTGTCGTAGCTGGCAAAATATATAGGAATAGTGTAGGTGTCAGAGAAAGTCCTACGTTAGCAGAGAAACAGTAAAGAGAAAGAGAACCAGCACAGGAGGCATATATGTTAGAAGTTTATGCCCCGGGGAGTTCACCTTAAAATATTGATTTCGTGGCAGGCGCGGGTGTCGGAGATGAAGTGCAGATTTCGTGGCGCGGGGGGGTCAGTCACATCTGGTAAAGACTCTTTTATGCGTATATACAATAGGCAGTCAGATTCTTTAGTTATACGTTGACCATGTAAACCCAAAGTCTACTGGAAGTGAAGCTGCCTTCTGTGTGTTTTCATGTAATTGTCAGACAAGCAGCGCCACGATGTTGCCTTGGCAAAACTCCACCGTGGAGGGTGATCTACCGAATGCCGATCTGACGAAGACGGGGGAAGCTTTTTTGCCGCACCGAGGGAGTGGCGTTACACCACTGTCCTTGGGGAGTTGCGTTACACAACAGCTGATCAAGGCAGCTTCATAAAGGTAGACAAACATATCCAGGTAAACTCCATGAAGGTAAACCATGTGAAGCCTTGTTCAGGAGCTTCTGCTTGGCTCCATCATGAACCACGAACAATGGCTGTGGGTCATGGCACCAGAATACCTTGGTTGACCTACTCGGAAGGTCTTTCACTACATGGTGGACCAGGGCTCTAGGTGGGTCACAGCCCATCCACATGATGCCGTCGAACACAAGACTTGCAACACCTATCAGTCAAATCCCCACACCGCACAAATTCGCATCATGCCCCAACCCAAAAATGAACACACCCCACATCACTTTGATTCACTTTGTATACTACTTTGTATGTAATTAGCTTCACCCAACTCGCCAAGACAAGAATGTCACTCGCCTGTTCACACTCGCGTCACAACCCCCCCCACACTGTTGGACTGTGCCCATGGTGCTTAGCATCTCTCTGCATCGGGTCACTTCCTGGCGTGGCCACTGCCCCGGCGGCAGCCCAAGTGATTGGGCGTTCTAAGGTTGTTTGATCTACTGATCTGTTATGTTATGTCTGGCTTTGGAGTCTCTTGTTTCAATATATTTCTATATGTCCGGCTTGGTCTGTGTGCAATATCAGGCGCTTCTTCTTGATTCCAGTCCCATGGGTCATGTCTGCTAATCGTGCGCTCACAATCTCGCAAACACCATGTCAACCTCCGCATTGTTCGGAACAACCATGGCAAAGCTCCCTGGTTTGCCATCTCTGGTCGCCACCCCACCGAATCGCCTTCGCCTTCCACGAAAAAAACAAACACCTCCGACCGGATGGCCGAACCGACGCGATGGCCCGACGAACCCGAAACGCCGGTGCCTTCTGCTCGATGCGATTGCTGCTCTGAAGATCATCCGTGGGCGATGGGCCCTCCACCGTACTGCGCCGCCGGAAGCTGTGGGCTGCCGAGGCCTGCGAAGCCGGTTTTTTTCCGCGAGGCGGGTGAGAGCGAGTGTGCAGATGTGTGCAGGGTGCGGGTGGGATTTTGCGCTGGGGGTAGATGGTTGACAAGACAAAATGCAGAAAACGAATGGACACTCCTATCGCATGTAGTCACCACACTCGATCCTCCGGTACAGCTCGACCTGCCAATACCACCCTCCACTGGGCACCAGACCACGCTGAAGCTGATGGTGCTACTAGCGGAGCTCAAGTCCTGTCAAACGAATCCAAAGGAGCTGAATTTGTGGAGACTTTGGAGGTCTGAAGGTCCAAAGTCTGAACCTGAGAACCACCAGTGGTAGAAAGAAAACGATGGAGTGAACAGCCTTCCCCACTGGGTGGGTGTGGGTGAACAAACCCGGACCCACGGTTCATGCGGTTGAAAAGGGTGTAGGACTACGTGTAGGTGACATCGTGACATCGCTGGTCATTTCTTATGATCACTTGAGGCCGGTTTTGCGGTGACTGCTCTGTAAATCGTTCTTTGCTCCGTCTCCCCACTGTTCGACTGACAAACTGCACCTGACCGAGCAAATTTGGGAAGTATGTTCTTTCCAAGGAAGGAAGTATGTTCTTTCCAAGGAAGAGGTCTCCTCCCCGTTAACTGGTGGGGGTTCATCTATTGCCATCCATCAAACAAATCTTTATTATTACCAGTACAAGTACAAGTCTCTATGTCAGCCAGCTGGGTGGTAGGTGGTTTGGTCAGCCTAGGGCCTACGAACAGCCATGGGTGCCCAGAGTCAACATAGCTCAGTGGGCTGAGCTTTTTGAGGGCTCAAAGTCAAAAACTGGGGCTGGACGAACCACTGGCATGTTTTACCAGCCTGTTGAACATGAGATTCATCTCTTGAATTAAGAAGGATCCCTCTGAGGCCAACCAGCATGACGAGAATGGGTCAAAGATTCGCGTTTAACCCTTGACACAAAACATGGTGAAGTGCCAAGGAGATATAAACGTTAGGTGGTCTAATCATGTTGTATCGCTGAAGGCCCCCAATAACAAAGACGGTGAAGTGCCAAGGAGATGCAAGCTTTAGGTGATCCAATTGTGTTATATTGCTGGAGGCCCCTCCGTATACCAATAACCACCCCAATGGTAGCCCTATGGGAACTTCTGGTGATTGAACTTCAGCCAATCATTGGATCGCTTTGCTTCCAAGGCACCGTCCCTTGCTTCTGATACCTGGGCGGCCCAGGAAGGGGGGCTGGCCGACGGCTTTCGCGTTGTTCGTGAGTTGGTAAAACCACCAAAACGAGCTGGTTGAATCGCCTCTTGAATGTTTTAATCATTCTCAATCTACGTATGAAAAGTGCATACATATTATCACTATACACCAAAACCAACTCCTCATGGACTCACTCTTGATTTGTTGTGTACAAATATCTTCTCCATTTGCCCAGCATCTCAATAGTCGAAAACAATTATATTGTGAATCGGGGTCCACCCGGTACCAGAACCAGTTGAGTGTAGGGTCCTTGTCGTTAACGTCTTACCACCGATACACGGTGGCTCAAGTCACACAGGTCCGTGCGGTGAAACAGGTGCCATGGATGTTGTTCGTGCCCCTGCCACTCTGTGAGGGAATCCTCACAGAGTGGTAGCGGAGCACCTGGTTGTGTTGGATCTTAGGAGCGACTCACGGTGAGTGTTCCATCCGACATCGGGAGTTCTGCTTTGGGATATGTCCGCACCTGACCTTCAAGGAAACCCGGGACTAGACATCCCAGTGACTGAGAGAGTTCAAGCATCACCACCACCGGCTGGCGAGACGAGCGCTAGAGCTGATGATGAAGGTGAGACTTCAGGAGATCCATGGATGCAGTCACATCGAGGTCAAAGAGTTGACTCGTCAGAATTCAGGCAATTTTTGAATTTTGTTGAAGCACGTTCACGAGGACAATACCCTCCTCGGAACACCTCCAGTAGAGACCGACCAGGCCACCGGTCCTATGCCTCACAGGACTCAGGAGATGATCGGGATGATGGTGAACGGACCAATGCAGGTCCACCCCCAAGTTTTGACGGAACTGGCTTCAAGGACTTCCAGATTCGAGCGAAACTCTGGTTGGCTACGACGAAATCGAAGCCGAGAACTCGTGGCCCCCTTCTCCTCAAAAACATGACCGGTACAGCATTTGACAACTTCAAGCATCTTGCCAAGGACGATAGTTGGTTGTCAAACCCCCTCAGCGGTCAACTCCTGCTAGATCAAATGGATACCCGAGAATACTATGGAGATGACTCTCGAGAAGATATGCTGAACTGTTTGGGGAAGCTGACCTATCAGCTGAAACGAAACAAGGGTGAAGGCCAGAGGGATTTTTGCGCTCGCTGGGAGAACGCAGTCAGAAAGGTCAAGGAACATGGTGTTCAGTTGCCACCGGAATATCTTGGCTTTTTGTTCATCATGGCCCTACAACTTCTCCGGAGGAAGTGAAGCTTTTGATGAATTTCAGTAAGGGTAGTCTTCATGTCACCGACGTCCGAGAGTGGCTTCGAGTTCATGAGACGGAATTGGACTTCAAGATATCGAATAAAGAGGCCATCAAGACCACCGACAAGAAGGGCATCTACCTAGCTGAACATGTTGATGACAGCTTGGATACTCCTGAAATCGATGAAGCGGACTCTGAGTACGAGGTGCTCATGGCTGCCGCCGAAGAGCTCGGCCTTGACCCAGCGACCTCAGCACCTGATGAGGAGATCTTTGAGGAGTCCGATGCCAAGGAGATCCTTGCCACCATGGTTCGTGACCACGTTCAAGGAAAAGGTCGTGGCAAGTCGGGAGGCAAGAGGACCTTCCAGCAGGCCAGCAGGATGAAGAAAACGAAGGAAGTGTCCCGCGAATACGGACGAGGCCGTAGCGGATTCCTTCCAACAGGTACATACCGCGTTTCAGTGGAAGAACTGAAGCGCAAGACCCGCTGCAGTGTCTGCCACCAGATCGGACACTGGCATCGTGATCGTGAGTGTCCGGGCAAGGCGGGAGCATCCAAAGAAGTTCAACTCCTGGAATCCGATGAAGCCCTTTTCATCCATTTCCTCGAGTATCAGGACTAGAAGAATGAACAACAAGCTGAGGTACACCATTTGAGCCGTGATGATGAATGGAATCCACTGCAAGAAGCAGTCAGCCAGTGGCGAGCCGTTCGTGCGGCACCTCAAGCCACTTCGGATCATGGTGTCACGGCAGATGAACCTGCCTCAGCGTCCGATCGAGTATACAAGGAGCGCAGTCCACCTATTGAAGCTTTTTGGAGTGAGAAGTGTTTTGAACATCTGAGAAGATCTGATATTGATGAGCGTTCATGTGCAACAGTAGACACGGGGTGTCAGAGAGCAGCGATTGGTCTTGAGACATTGTACAAATTGCAATCAGCGCAACCTAAACAGCTTGAGATTTTGATGAAACCAGAACCACATCGTTTTTGCAGTGTACATGGCACATCAACCACACAACGAGTGGCATGCATACCAAATAGTATTGGACCAAACGGCTGCATTTTACGACAAGCAGTATTCGAAGATGAGCACGGAAGCAAGGCCCCATTTTTGTTGTCATTGCCCTTCCTTTTAGCGTGTCGATCCGTCTTGGAATTGGATCCGACAGTTGGATTGTCCGTGTTTCTTCGAAAGTACAACCACAGAATTCCCCTACACCTTGGACCAACGGGAGCCCTACGCATACCACTGCATGAGTTCACTCCGCAAATGTTGCAACACTTGCAAGCTGGATCTCACAAGCTGAAGAACGTGAATGAACACGAGATTCTGAATCTTATGGCTCGTGATTGTGGGACTGGTGCTCAGCAGCAACCGGCCGCAAATTCTGGTGTCATCGAGCCCAAGGATGCACCAGCAACAGAAACGCAGCCGAGCCATGGAGCAGAAGCGGGACTCGATTCCGCAGTGGCGTCGATTGGCCCTACGACTTCTGCTGATGATCCGCCAAATGATGATCTCCCTGGTCTCCAATCGGCTTCACATGTCAGGACCTCCGGGAATGAGAACTCGTCTGGTGGTCAACGAGCTGGAGAACATGAGCGAGTCCGACCTGGAAGTATCACAAGAACATCTACAGGAAGAACTGGAGCAACGCAGACTGGAGGATTTCTCCCTAGTCAGTGGCGGAAAGGGCAAGAAGACACAGGGCTACATCCCAGAACCGGCAGCTCCAAAAACTCCGGAGCGGCCCAAGTGGGAACCTCCATCTCCGGTGATGTCACCGAGTATGGACAGCAATCAACGACCTCCTCTATGCCATTGTCATCTGACGACCACACTCCAGATCTCCAGGAAGGAGGGGTACCACTTTCATCGGCAGTTCTGGACATGCCCACGCTGGGAAACCACCAAGTCTTGCGGCTTCTTCATGTGGACCAAGGACCAACCATTTTGGAGTCCCAGTCCGAACAAGAAGGGAGTCATTCCCTTGCTACCCACGGCCGATCCGCAGACAGCCAAGTATCCCATGCAAATGGATCCAAAGATCTGTCCTCACTACAACGTGACCAAGGCCGGCAGCAATGGATGGATCGAGCAAACTCGCTGCATCGACTGTCAAACCATCCTGGAGCGCAAACAGCGCACCAAGCCGGCGTCAGCTGCCAGCTCACACCAGGACAGTGCGATTCCTGGGGATCAACAAGCATGGGAAGAATTTCAAGAGTTCAAGCAGTTCTGCCAGATGCAGCGCCGCCGCCGCTGAATCCAGAAGTGAGAGCATTGAATCCAACTCATTTGCACAGGATGTGCGCTAGTTTGGAATCAGCTGAAATCATGTGGCAACAAATGTTACAGATCTTTGACGACCCGACCAAACATGTTGGTGAAGAGTTGTTTTTGACAATGGTTGCAAAAGACTTGAAACCAACGAAAAGGAACCTCCGCAATGCAGAACAATTGTTTCGGGTTGACAAGTCGAATTTGAGAATGATCTCAGAGGTCTTCAACCCCGACCGGTTTGGACCCGCGACACAAAAGTTTGGACTTCAGCGAGGCCAGATATTTGATCTGACTCTTGGAGATGATCTTCTTTCTAAGCAGTCACAAGAATCAGTCCTTTCACATATTCGGATTGAACGACCTGGGTTGACGATCATTTCACCCCCATGTGGTCCTTTCAGTGCCCTCCAGAAATTGTCACAGTCATTGAGGAGTAGAGACTGGACAGCTGCACGAAAGTTCATGAACAAGCTACATGAAGCTAGGAGACTCCTTCGTTTTGCTGCGCATGTTTGCCTGACATGTCACGAGCTGGGATTGTCCTTTTTGTTTGAACAACCTCAAACCGCGCGGTCTTGGTCCGAACTTTGCATTCGGAAGCTCCTCCAAACACGCGGTATCGAACTAGTCCATGGCGATCAGTGCATGTATGGCCTCAAACTCAAGGCCTCAGGTGCAGCTGTCAAGAAGCCAACGAGCTTCATGGGTAACAATCCAAGTGTGCTCGCAGCCCTATCCAAGAGATGTGATCATAGTCATCGACATGAACCTGTGATTGGCTGCGACTCCAATGGATCGAGATCTTCGCAGGCACAACGATACCCTCCGGGGCTCGTGAACACGATTCTCAAGAGCTATGCCCAGTCGATCAACCGTCCAGAAAAGGAACTGTACTTCATTCTGGCTGCTGATATCATCAGCTTGGATCGGCAGGTCGATGAACACTACTACACCTCCGAAGAAACTGCAGAGATCTTTGCGGAAGGCGAGGATCTGATCCCAGCCTTAGATGCTCCTTTCTATGGCTCTCAAGAGAACGAGTTCACAATTCAAGCCAAAGAACATCTACCTGAAGGAGATTGGAAGTTCTGGACCCGAACTGATCTCCAAGCCGACAAATACCAAACCACAAAAGGAGATGGCCCACACTTCAACCTGGTGGACTACAGGCTGACCTTTAACTTGGAAACGAAGGAACTGATCAAGCTGGAATCTGTGAGCGACCTGAATTCCGAGGACCTCGAGAAGGCACTGGAATCCGAGAACCAAAACATCGTAACTGTTTTTGCTTGGCAGAAACTCCGTGAACTCGCCGGTTCTCGTCAGGTGAGTCTCGAGAGACTAGTTCGACGTGCCCAGTTTAGGTCATCCCGAGCTCAATAGATTTCTTCGTATCCTGAAGGCTAGTAAGGTAAAGCCTGAAATCCTAGAGATTGCCAAGAACCTTAGGTGTTCGGTTTGTCAGCAACTCAGTATGCCAGCAACCCGTCGATTCAGTGCTCCACCAAGGGAGAACCTCCAATTCAATGATTTGATTGGGGTTGACTCGATTAAGATTCGTAATCATAGGAATGAAGCTGTCACTGCGCTGAACTGCATTGATTATGCATCTCACTTTCAACTAGTCATCCCGATGACATCAGCCACAGCCAAAGCTGCCAGAACAGCCTACCGACAGTGGACTCGAATATTCGGTGCTCCTCGAAGAATGTACGGTGACCTTGGCTCTGAGTTCAAGGCATCTTTCGTTCGAGCCGTCGAAAAAGATGGGACTGAATTTGTACCTAGTTCCTTAGAAAGCCCTCACCAGAGAGGCCTTGTTGAGCGAGCTGGAAAAACGTACAAACAAATTTTGTATAAAACCATGAACACCGTCCCATGTGAAAGTGAAGAACAGTGGCGAGAAAACGTCGACGCCAGTTCGATGATGAGAAATAGATTATTGTTGAAAGGGGGATACTCCCCCATACAGCGGGTCATGGGGTTCACACCGAGACTCCCCGGAGAACTGCTTTCCGGCCGTGATCCACAGTTCTCAGAACGAACGCCGGTGAGACCGGGAGATTTGTCTGTCTTGAGCATGGAGCTCCGACGATCCGCAGCAAAAGCGTTTTTCGATTCCGACTGCCAAAATGCCCTCCAGCGAGCCACCCTCGCCGGACCACGTCCATGGAGGACTTTCGAACCAGGACAAATCGCGTTTTTCTTTCGAAGAGGCGCTGATACTCAGAAGAAACCTGCCTCTTTCTACTGGCAAGGACCTGCCAGAGTCCTGCTGGTAGACATGCCAAACACCATTTGGCTTTCCCACCGAAATACTATAATTAAGGCCTCGCCAGAACGCATTCGAGCTGCCAGTGAGGAGGAAACCATGACCTTGTCATCATGGTTAGAGGGGTTGACTGAGCTTCGGGATCAACTTCGTCGTCCCGATATTCGTGGTTTGATCGATTTAAGTGAAGAGGCACCTCCGACTCAAGATGAATTAGGTGAAGAAGAAATCAATCCAGATAGAGATGATCTCATAGATCCTGAAGATATGCTAGAACCCCGTCAACCAATGTTGGAACCTAGTGAGCGGAGACCTCTCACAGATCTCCCCGCGCCTGCCAGGAGAGTTCGAGCGAAAACAGCTATCGGCGAATATGCCGAGCGCTCTGCCGATCCGCCTGGCGAACAACCAGCTCCAGAATCTGGTGCAGTCCTGCCACCGCCTGGATTGGCTCCTGCTGTGGATGGTCAAGGACAACCGTTCGTTTCCGAGCCCGATCTCGAATATACTCCGAGTGAACCTCCGATTGAGCCGGAACTTCCAGATACAGAAATGATTGCAGATCATGGAGAGAAACGTGAACACGAAGATGATACAACAGAAGATATTGTTTCTCCTCCCGACAAGCGACAAAGAGTTGAGTTTTTGGAGCTTTTTCATACAGTTTTACAAAAATGTGGCATGACCAAAAAGAGAAAAGAACATACTGCCAAAGACTTTACTGGAAAAGATTGGCGCCGGCTCATCAAGGCCATTGAGAAGGAGATCAATCAGAACCTGGCCTCAGGAGCTTATGAGCTTCTGGATCAAACCACCTCTGAGGAAGTTCGAAGATCCAAGCCGGGTAAAATCATGGGTTCAAGATATGTTCTGGTCAAGAAACCTCTTGAAGACGCAGAAGTCGACAAAGCTCGTGTCGAAGATCTCTTGCTGGACGATCAGGAACATGGACCCGTGAAGGCAAAATGTCGACATGTCATGCAGGGTTTTTCGGAACCCGACGCTCTCGACGTTGAGACAACCACCCCACAGGTCACTAGAGATGGGGTTGTGTTTATAGCACAAGTGCTGTCCAGTTTGGGCTGGACACCTGGATTCCTTGATTTCACGCAAGCTTTCCATAGTGGAGATCAAATCAACAGGGAACTATATGCTGAACAACCAAAGGAAGGTATCCCTGGTGCACACCCTTCACAGCTGATCAAACTGCGCAAACATTGCTATGGATTGACCGATGGCCCCCACAAATGGTATGAACACCTGTGTCGATACTTGGCTTCAAAGGGGTATCAACAATCGCGTTTGGATCCCTGTTTGTGGATGCTGTTTGACAAGAGTTCAACTCATGGGAAGCTGAAGGGTATTCTAGGTGTGGCTACAGATGATGTGTTTCATGGTGGTGATGTTGACCACTGGAAACATATTGAACAAATTTCTCTGGACTACAAACTGGGGAAGAATCAACAGAAGGCAGGTCGATTTACTGGCAAGGATATTCGGCAGCTAGGTGATGGGTCGATTGAAATCAACCAGAGTTACTATGTGGACGACAAGGTGAAACTGATTCCACTTGAAAAGAAACGCCGCAGTCAGCGGTATGACAAGTGCACTGCGACCGAGATTGAACAACTTCGAGGACTCTTGGGGACCTTGTCCTGGTTGAGCAAGGAAACAAGGTGTGATCTAGCAGGTCGATGTGCATTGTTACAACAGAGTTTTCCACATCCAAAGGTGAAAGATTTGGAAGCAGCCAACAAATTAGCACAAGAAGCAATACAGTACAAACATCTTGGGATCAAAGTTCAACCAATTCCTTTGTCAGCACTCCGTGTTGGAGTAGTCACAGATGCCTCCTGGGGCAATGCCAGGGATTCCGGAAACGGAATCGAGGATCCCATCAAATCCGATTTTTGGGAGGAGACTCCCACATCTTGGGTTCGTCATCATGTCCAACCTCGAAAGAGTTATTTTCATCCCGATTTTACAACCAATGGTCCAAGTCTCCACGATATTCAGCCAACTCGTCGAACAGATCGGATTCTTGCTGACCATGGTTGTGTTTCTGAGACTGATTCGTGGAATTCAGCGAACAGTCTCAAGTGCGCTTCAGAAGACTGGACCGGAAAAACAGTATTTTTGAAGGCAACAAAACAGCAACCAGCAGTTCCTGCATCTCAGATCCGTTCCTTGGCGGAACAACAAGCCTGCTTGAGCAGTCAGGGTGGACAGTGCATTGTGTACTACGATGATCAGTTGACCACCTCACAAACTCCGACACCAGTGACAGTAGCATCCTGGCGCAGCTACCGACTGAAACGAAAGGTCGTTAGCACCCTGGGAGCTGAGAGTCAAGCGCTGATCAACGGAGTGGGCTCAGTCAACTGGCATCGACTTTTGTTGTTGGAAGTTTTGAGTGGCGTTAGCACCAACAGGAATTGGGAAGCACAACTCCAGAAGACTCCGTTCATCACGGTTACTGACAGCAAGTCACTCTATGACTCCCTGAAACGCGATGCTTGTCCAGCAGCACAGTTTTGTGACAAACGGGTGGCAATCGACATTTCAGTTTTAAAGGATGAATTTAAATCTCAAGGTGGTATCATCAGATGGATCGATACTCGAGCAATGATTTCTGATGCTCTCACGAAAGATGGTCCACCAGTCTATTTGAGACACATCCTTGAGACCGGTCAGTGGTCAATACTAGAAGAAGGGGTCGCTTTGCAGAGAAAACTTCTGGAGCGAACCCCCCTACACTCCCCTACGCTCAAAAGAGAATGGTACCAGTGTGAATCGGGGTCCACCCGGTACCAGAACCAGTTGAGTGTAGGGTCCTTGTCGTTAACGTCTTACCACCGATACACGGTGGCTCAAGTCACACAGGTCCGTGCGGTGAAACAGGTGCCATGGATGTTGTTCGTGCCCCTGCCACTCTGTGAGGGAATCCTCACAATATATAGGCTATAGGATTCAACATATACAGTAAGTTTAAGAAACTGTAAACTCAACCGAACTCCCAGTACGAATGCTGATACACCTTCCAATTGTCACAAAAACTGCACGCAAGCATCCAACATGCATTGATGTATTGACACTCACACATTCAACTGCACACTTGGATTTTTGACGTGCTGGAATTGCTATTCTTCCAACAAGAGAAGCAAACATTTTTTCTTTCCGGACACGCGTCCCTCTACTAAGGCAAATCTAGGGCGATCAATGCAGCAGCCGTGCTGTACCCAGCTCAAGGTACATCATCCGCCTCTTCTGTGGTGAGGTCGACATCGCTCCAAATCATCAGGCGCCAAGCGCCGTTCGGACGGGCTGCTCCACAGCCCCGCAAAACCGTTCGAACGGGGCTGGTGGGGCTGGACACGCCAGCAGCTGAGTCGGGAGTAGTGGTTCTTGCTGGTGAGGTGACGGTTCAGCTGTTTCTTGGTCCCACTCTGGGTGGGACATGAGCTGGGGTGTCACTTGCAATCCCTGGACATTCTGGTGATTCTATGATTGAGGTCTTTTCGTCAAGGCCAGTGAGCATGTTTGTTTTGCTTCCAAAAACTGCTACAAAGCACATGCTACCACCTTTATGAAGGTGGCATATTTGAGGCTTGGACTGAAGGTTTACTTCCCCCGAACTGGATTGACTGTTGCCTGTACCGATGGGCAAATCGGCAGATCTTCTTCTCATGGCAGATCATTCTCTGTGCGCCCTAAAGGGCTAAGTCCATCGCGTGAGCCAGGGGCAACAGCGGCCAGTGATGGGATGGGTCAACCACCTTTAAAGCGTCTGCTGAAAGAAACCGTCTGGGATATTAGATATTGGATGCTATTGGTATGACCGGTAGACTGCCAACCAGGTCTGCTGCCCAATGAAAAGGAGGTGTCCAAAACCTGTGCAAATTGCAGGTTTAGACAGACTCAGATGGGTGAAAAGACGGTCACCGGTGAAAGACCCCTGGCGCAGCAGTGCGTCTCAACGGTCCGTCTGGAGTTGCACTTGGACTCGCTCTGATCCGTGGATCTCACATCGGTCAGAGCGGAGCACTACTGCAAGTCACAAGTTTCCCCACCCAAAACGAGTATAACGGTTATAACCAGCCCGGTGTAAATATCAGCTCGTTCGCCGTTGCACCCTGGCTGTGAAAGGAATCGGCACTCAAGTTTACTAAAGTCAAAACATCTCCGAGTTGTGTTCCACTGTCAGGCTGAAACGTTGTTAAACTCCATGTTCATGACTCATCCAGGCTCCATCCATGTACATGATGTGGGTCACGACCAATCAATCCCCATATGTATTATGTATACTATACTACTATACATAATATTGTCACCAACATGGTCTCACGAGGCACGGAACTTCAACGGATTTTACCTTGCGCCCTCTGCTCCCTCCATCTGATCCTGGCGCCCGGGCGACTGCAATGGCCTCCTGTGACAGGAGCTCGACATCTCCAGGGCGATGCTCCGAAAAGGAAAAAGCAAAATGTCAATGACCAATACTGTCAGGGTACAGGCTGAATCTATCCCCGCCAAATAGGCGGAGACATGCGGAGACGAGAATGACATACCAAAGATTGCCAAATCATGACTGTCATGTCAGGGTAGGTTTATGATGGTTTATTGCTGCTCTTTGGCAAATATAGGGCAAAATCATATAAAATCCCTTTAATTAGTATCCTTTAGTACTTCATCCGTCCTAGCCTTCCAGTACCTTATACCAGAGTCGCTGCATCTGGGGCGTCTCGCTGCATCCCATGTGGTCCGGAGGTTGGGAGTTTGGGCGTCGTGGACGACCGCAAATGCTTCGCTGAAGCATCTGAAGCACAAACGGATACCGAAGATGCTTACGGTGGATCGGAGATTGGTGTCACGTGTGTCACGGATGACCAAAAAGGATCACCCCCTGGGATTGCTCTTCTAAGAGTTCTATTCTATCGCTTGAGCGATGTGGGCAAATCGCGGCAACATGTCGAAACCAGCTTACATTTATAGGCAATGGTGGAAGATGTTGTTTTGCCTCATTTATTCTCATTATTATCATTTGCCACTCACCCATGAATCTCCAAGTTGGGGCACTGAACCGGAGCCCTCTGCCGCCTCTGCCTCACGTCCCTGGAGCCACGCTCCGCCGCGTTCCAGAACGCACGCTCGCACGGGGCTCCTCTTGGTCTCGCCGCAGCTGTTGTTTCAACTCTTCGAACTCCACTTCCGCCGCCTGGAGATGTGGAGCAACGAGCACGAGAGTCCAGTGGGACATGACCGGCAACGGACGGACAGAAATTCTCCATCCCAAGGAGAAGGCGTGACGGTTCGGCAAAGTCGAAGGTTACATATTACAGGTCATCTGAAAGAAAGAGCGAAGAAGAGTGCCATCTCCAAGTGCCTGGTCGAAGTCCTTCTCCGCCTCCTTCAAGGAAGCGTAAAGCCCCTGGCACAAGACGGTCCAATGAGAATCCTCTGCTCAAGACGGTCCAAAGTTCTACCGTCAACTCCCGGTCTGTTTTCTGCCGGACAGGCTGGGTATAGGCTGGGTATATCCCGCTACCAGTAACAGCTGGTGGATGAAGATTAGTAAAGACCTCTTGGTTACCTCGTAGTGGGACACACCCTACATACAGGACAAATATATATAAATATAGGATGTCATGGGCATATTCCATATTCATCCATATTCATCGTGGAAATCCCTCATATTCCGCCTGACTCAGCTCTAGCTTGATTGATGCACCCCAGTGTTCCCTTCTATCCTCCTATCCAAGTATTTCAACTGATGACTCTGCCAATTTCTGTAATTAGGTGAGACAGGATCGCGGGAAGTCGCCAATCCTTTGCTTATTGGACATTCCGACATTCCTAGTGTTTTCAGGTACCTTGTCATTCATGGAATCCAAGTTGGTCACCAGACATGTCTGGTGCACCTCAACGTTAAAATGTCTAGTTGACGATATGGACCGGTTTTCACCCATCTGATCAACAAAGTTGTTTTACGAACAGTTGAGCACCGCATAATACAGGAATCTGCTCAAAAATACATCCAGAAGGTTGGAGAATTATAAAAAACATGTTGAGACTCGCCCCCTCGTGCCTTCAATGACCTGAGCTCTTCTTGTGTGAGCTTGCTCTGGAGGGCCTCTGGAGGACTGCAGTGGAGGTCTCTGGCGGAATGAAGCTGGCATCAAAAGAAGCTGTCATGGAAGGTGTTCAGCTGGGTTCAACCACACTCAAAGTCAAACATAATTAGACTTGATTTAAGATATTGCTCTTTTGTCTGAAGAAGGATTTGTAACTTTGGGCGACCAATGTTCCATCCACAGTGACCTATCCTATTATTCACTTCAGGCTGCAAGGAATCCAGGAATTTCCCGCCCTTCTCACTCAACTCGCCTGCTCCAAGCGTGCCTTCGAATGCAGCCGTGCATTGGCCAACATTCGGGTCAGCTCCACCATCCGTTCCTCCAACTCCTCCGGGCGCCCGCCCGCTCCTTCGGGTTTGCCCACCCCTAGCTAAACTGGATCTTGGACACCTGAGAACCTTAGATTGAACAATATATCAGTCATCAAAGCTCATCTATAGGTTGTCAAAAGAAAAGAATGATCAAGGACAGGCATAATGACGTAAGAAGACTCAATACTAAATACTGTGGATTGTGCTTGCAATTTAAGTGAGTGCAGCAGCAGCGGTTTGGGAATACGTAGCTACTCCCTGCGTAATTGAACATAGTGTTTGATTCTCCATATTGCAGCAGCGCTGCAGGATTGAACCTTTATGAAAACCTGCTTTCAGATTCTAGCATTTGTCAGGATGATGAGGACTTTCTTTACCTGGCCGTTTCTAGAAGTGCCACTTTCCTCCACGTGCTGGAAAGTAATCTTTCTTTCCAATAGGATTGAGGTTGAGAGGTTGAGATTGAGTGCATACGTACCTGTGGTGAGTGCTCCATACGTACCTGTGGTCTGAAACCACACGGTCCCCGTGGCTGCCATGCCTGATCGACATGGCCGGTCCTTGCGGCTCTTCCCTTGGCATCGCTCCAGCTCCTTGGCCTTGGCCTCTTGGGCATCCCGGAAGTCCTCTGCGTGGAGCCGGATTCGCTGGCGGACGCAGGAGAGGCGTCCGCGCGCGGACGCCCTGCCGTCCTCAGAGATCTCCAGCAGATCGTCCACAGAGACCTGACGGGGCAACGTCGACAGATGGCCTTTGCAAGGTGAGGTTGTGTAAAAACCCCCCTACCTTTCCCTATACCACTTTTGACGTTATCGTTGTTTTATTCCTTAGCGTTTTACAGCACTTTGACTAACGGCAACAAATGTAGTAACAGCATATATAATTTAGGTACAGTGTGATGTAGTGTGTGCACTACATGCTTGTGGTGTGTGGAACCTTGCAGATATGAAGACATTAGGCACACTTCATTCCAACTACACCCATGTGGTGGCCTGCCTACGGAAAGGTGTTTTAGGCTCGCTGTGTTATCGTTTTTGTTATCGTTGTCATGCCTTGTGCAAGTTGGAAAACCATGCGGCACGACAATGCTGCAGCACAAGGCTACAGCGGACCAAGCCCTTCCACCTCTGTCCAAGCATATACCACGTCTCGCATGTCAAGGGTTTTGCACAAGAGTCATCGGGGGTTATCGTTTCTTTTTGCTTCCTTATCGTTTTACAGTGAATTGAACATGCTTCCAGAAAAACGGACATGCGAATACTACTTTATTACATGAGGGTTTCTATACTCTCTCAGGTGAAACAATTAAACCTTGTCATGGCAGTCAAAGCAAACAGGCATTTGTGAATTAAATGTCCTAATTATGATGTTCTCACTGATGCTGGAATTGCAATAGATCCCGGACAGCATCATTCGCATTTCTGTATGCATGATACACTTGACGTTACCACCCAAATCAATACAGAAACAAACCACATAGAAAAGCAACCCTTGCAGTGCAAGGCCCGCAAGGCCTCCTGGTCTCCACTGCACAGGCCTTCAGCAAGCTGCATTTCAGCCTCCCCAGTGTTCACAACTGTCAGCTCTGCAATACTATCGATCTGGATGGGTTTGAGGGGCCCTATTCCAAGTGCCCGAACAATTCTGGATCCTAGCCAAGGGAGCCCTCGTGGTTCAGTTCATATGCCAAGAACCTGATGCCTGGGAATATCACTGGACACAAAATATGGATTTCAAATGATTTCTCTGTCTCTTAAGAGTTGCTAGAAGCCAAATTGGTGCAGGTGGGTGACCAAATCATGGATGGGAGAGACAAACTTGCATGGTAAAAGGTGTACGTTTCATGGCCGTTGGGTACTCCATGTCAGAAAACCATGTCATATGGTCGTTTGGCACTTCATGTCGTTTGGTACGTTTCATGGTCGGCCCGTTTGGCACTTCATCAGCGTGATTTCACCGAGCCGCTCGTGCACTGGGCACGTGTGCAGCCTTTGCTTCTGCCAAGGCCTCTGCCATGAGCGTCAAGTCGCCCACCTCCTCAAAAGCGAAGAAACAGCAGTGAGAGTAACCTAGGCCAAAAAAGCCTAAGGTGTTGTGAAAATATCTAAAGAAGTAGTGTCCATTTGACCTTGTTCACTTTCTCTCCCCAAAGTCGATCTTTGCTTGGCCTGTTTGTCAAGATTCTCCTGGATTATACCTGGACCCTGAAAATAGACTTCAGAGATCGACTGCAATTACTCAAATTCCTCATGTATCGTCAGGTATGCTTCTTGAAGGTTCCACGGGTCCACCGATGGATTTTGGGAGGTCGGCTTTCCTACCCGATTGCCCTACCTAAGCTCAGAGACATGATTGTATACGACAGCTGAGTCATTTCCGAGGAGGAGGTACCTAGCTGTCTTCTACTACTACTACTACTACTACTACTACTACTACTCTTACTACCACTACTACTACTACTACGACTACTACTACTACTACTCCTGCTACTACTACTACTACTACTACTACTACTACTACTACTACTACTACTACTACTATCCACTGCAATAGCTTCAACGAAACGCGTCATCGAAATCCCCGCTTTGCCCAGGCGGCCCGGCTAGGGAGTGCTTCAATCGCACCAGGGCCTCTTCCCTCCGCTGATGACCTGTGACTGCTGAGCCATCTGACACAACTGGAAGTGGACTTCCCACAAATTCATGTGGATCCTTTCTGGACAGCTACCACTACTCTGAAAACCTGCTGAGTGGTTTATATAGATGCTAGAATCTACATTGCTGCAAATCATCCCTTGGAGCCTTTCAAACAAATCTCTGAGATGTCACCCTCAACCACCATGAGGTCCTTCAGTAATCCTCTCGAAAAATAACATAAAATACTCTAACCACTTTAACCGACTCTAACCCTATGACGCACTAACATACTCAGATCTACTCAATCCACGGGACTCAAACTCTCAAAGCCACAAACGACTGGATCTCAACCTCACCTTCCAACCGCCGGACTTTCCTCCGCCCTGCGCCGGACGCGGGACGGGCTCTGGTGGGCGCACCGCTCTGGTGGGCTTGGTCCACTTGCTTCAGGCTGCTTTGCGCCATCGACGCGATCGCGGCACTTTGGGACTGCGAGGCGAAGCAACCACAACGCGACGGAAGTTTGTGAAGAAGGACGGTGTGAGGGTCTCACCAAGTCAAAAGGGTAGTGATCTGACTTCATTGTGACCAAATACAGAGTCAGAAGGTATTCATGAGGTCACGTCTCCGGTGTTTTGGGACCATTCATACAAATCCAAACTGGAATACTGGTTAGAAGTCATGAAACATGGACTTCATGGCCTTTGGAAGGATTGAGCATGGGAGAAAGAATGAGCTTAGCTCAGCATAAATACCATAGACTATGACTATAGGCATCCCAAATTGCGTTCCCAGCTTTCCCGCAACTTCTTTCATCATGGCAGCTACAAGATACCTCAAAGGCTGCATTACGCAACAACATCGCTAACCTAGAGTACCTGGACCCTCAAGCCCCCAATAGTGAGACATTGCTATTTGACAAACATAGATAACAATAATTAGTCCAGTCATCAGGGTTCATGCACACATGGACGATGAAAATGAATGAAAATGACTTGATCCCCCATCGAAACCAGAGCTCATTCAGCCAGTTGCATGACTTTGACCCTGTGTCCGTTTTGGGAGTTTCAAGGATCAAACGCCTCCAGCATCTGCTGCAGCTCTTGTTTTCGCTTGGCCTTCCGCAGTTCGAATCTCAACAATTCACCCCATGAGTTCTCAGTGTCTTACATGAGTTGTCGGCAACCGCCCCAAATACGACGTGGGGCAAGCCGTTCCTTCTTCCGCAACGGATGACGACAGGGAGGCACATTGACACATGGTGACACCCGGCACCCTGGCCTTTTGCAAGCCATGAACCTTCAACACATCTGCCAAGAAGAATCATGACCACCCAGTTGTTTGAAGCTGGCCACAAATCACCTGTAAGACATTTGATGTAAGAATCACATGACCTCTGACAGAGATCTGGATGTACTGGTAGCTTGGAATCCCAAAGGCGAAGATTGTCCGATGCTTGGACTCCATGGGCGACTCAATAGGCTTCTAACTTCCTGGATCCGCTTGGTCGGGGTTTCGGCTCATCCATCACCTCTGCTGAAAGCAAAGACATGCTATGTAATTTTTATGCAATTGGGTGTGGCTACCTTGCAGTACTGTAGTCCACAGAGGTACAGCCACGGAGGAGCTCATTGTTGTACTTCTTGCACGCCTTCTAGCATGTTTGGGATCTGATCTGAAAATATTATGGCCCAAGTTATGGCAAACATTTTGAGTACACAACCCAACCCCAAGTGTGGCAAGTTGTGGGACCCAACCCAACCCTTCAAAGTCGGCCTCTTCGATCTCTTCTGCTGTGGGCTCCGCTGGCTTCACCGGCTCCGGTGGCTTCTCCTGCAGAACGCAATGTATCAGTGTAGTCAGACTGAAGTGTGGGAAGAACTAAAAAAAAAACAGAAACTATCCCTACAAGTCAAAGATCTCATTTTACTGGAGATGGTCATACAAAACCAATACTTAAGGAGGTCAAAGACCAGGTTTTACTTCTATAATATGTCCCCGGATATCACCCTGATGTCCCCAGGTTCCTGGAAGTCCTTTCATGCCCTGAGTCTCACCAACCGCGACGAACGCCGGAAAACGCATCTTTTTCCTAGTCAATTCTCCCAAACATGACACCAAACACCAAAACAAACATCAAAACTCCCAAGGTGTTGTATCAAAACACTCCCAACGACTCACCTTCCTCGCTCCCCGCCTCCTTGGCAAGTGCTGAAGCTTGCACCGCCGGCGCAGCCTTCGCCTCGGGCACCGGAGCTGGCGTGGTGGGCTCCACCTGGCCGGCGGGGTCGGAGCCAAAGCCGAACGGATCCGTTCGATGAGAATGCCAAGCTTGTAATGAGAGCCTAAAGATATGTTCTTGACCAAAGGGACAAATACATAGCTCAAATCAGCAATTTGGTTGTTGAGTAGGCTCCCCCCACTCTCTGATACCAGTAGAACATAGTAGAACCATCACACATTTGACGAAAAAACACACATAGGCCAAGGTGGGCAGTCTCAGGTTCCACTCCCCATCCAAAACTGCCAACCTTGGCCTTAGCTCCAAGCTTCACCTCCGGAAGCTCCTGGCGGTTTTCACTTTCACCACACAGTGGGACCGTGGGACCAAGGGGTAGAACAAGGTTCCTAATTGGTAGGCGCATCCAGTTCCCAAATCCAATGGTTCATGCCTTTGTGATCTTTATGGCATGGTGTTTTTTTTTTCATGACATGGTTGCCCTATCCTATTTTGACTGACCTGGTTCCCAATCCAACAAGCCTAAAGCCTTGATTCATATTTTTACCTTACTTACCCAATGTATACCATGTACACCTATATATAGACTACCCACGGCATGTCAGAACAGGCAGCATGAGCCACAAGAAACTGCTACTTGTGTGAGGGTCCAGGCAGTTGTGGACGACTTTGGTTCCGTATTGCTTCAAATAAATACACCTGTTCCCGTGTTCCCCCGTAGATCATACCCCCGACCAGTTCAATAATCCACTAGCAAAATACTTTAGGCATTCACGATGTTGGAGGTTTGCACCTGCTGCTATGGCTCCCGTACTCTAACAAGCTTGCCCAAGCGTTTGTAGAAGCTTTCCCTCATAGATGTTGACCTCAAAGCACAATAATTCCTAGCTTCCCGCAGGTTTTCCGATGAAACTGGTAAGAATTATTCTGTTGAGTACTATATCCAACCTGGGGTGAATTGGGGGAGACCACTAGATCAATGACAATGAGACTTCAACAAACACCCGTTTCGAACCCCATTCTGGGCAGCAGAATCCCACAATGGACAAGCATTAGGTCAATCTCGAAACATCTAATCCACCCCGGTCGAACGTGAGCTTTGAGCCCCCGAAAGAGTCGAAATCTCGGATCTCCAAATGGTCCACCCTCCCTTTTGAGTGGAACTTCTCTCAACTCTCCGACCATCCCCACCGAGTCGTGGTGACCGGTCCACCATCCGCCACCTGGACCGCCGGGTCGCGCGAGCCGGGGAGGACACCGGGCAGCACCTGGCGACCGCGAGCCGGGCGGCGTTGAGCGCACCGGAGGGTGGAGGTATCGAAGCCTCTTGGGGTCGAAGAGCGCGAAAAGCGAAAAGAGGGGAAAAATGGGTGGATGATGGTGGATCAGTGGAAAATGGGAAGGGTATACCTATATACATCCTACTATACTAGCTTACTAGCTTATTGTAAGTTGTGGAGGAGGGTTTAAGCTTGTTGCTTTATGTATTGTTTTCTTCAAACGAATCAGACAGAATCAAATTCTCTCCAGATTGTTGGGGAGATCTGTAAACGTCTACTATAGTCTGGTATAGATCCACACCACCATGGAGTGCTGAATGATGTTGAACGGCTTGCAATGCTTGCAACTATTGGAAATCCATATTGAACTTCCCCAATTTCAGCAGACACACCCCTGACCCTCCCTTGCTTGAGCCTTCTGCGTCACCAGGGCATAGGTGCCAGCAGAGGCCGTTAGTGCTCCCAGCGCGAAGCCGCCGAAGATCTTGCCACTCGAGCTGCCACCAGAGTCGCCACCTGCTTGTCAAAGCTTGTCACAAGGTCAAATGAAAGTGCAAAGTGCGCACTAAATACATAACACTTTTGGTACACTTCTCAATTTGCTCAGGGGGTGGGAGAAAGAGTCAGGCTGTTTGGTAAACAAGAAAGAGTGAGTTAAAGGGTCTTTGGGCAGCATGAGGATTTCTACAGGGATGGGAGCGTGAAGATTTCGAGGTTTCGTCTCTTATGATGGTGAACCTTCAAATCCAACCAACTGCGAGACTCAGCATCGGACCTGCACTAAATCCACGCGCAGCCACGCGCAGGCGCGGCCCCGCGCGTGCCATGGCTCGAGGAAGACCTTTCAAGGTCTTCATGATTGTGGCGTTCCTGGATGGCAATGCCAGCTGACATCGCTTTTTTAGGCCCTCAGGTGAATTTGTGGCGCCATTTTTTGTGAGGTGTCGACATGTTGTTTCTTTCGGGAGGTGTCATGAAAGTCCAGTCCAATTCTCGGATTACATGTTCTGTCATGAAAGCCTACAGAATGGGCACCTCTCTTTGAGTTTAGTTAGAGGTCTAGTCAAACTGCAAAGTACCCTATACTGCTGGGCCAGAGTTCTTGCCTGTCAAACCGAAGAACCAAAGCAAAACGGAACGTAGGTCAGGAGCTTCCATGGAGCGGTTTCGGCTGGACACTTCACGCTCTTTTACCCACACCAATAGCGTCGTTCTAGTGCTTGACTGTCAATAGTGCTTGACTGGTTCTATTGCTTGTATCTACCCCAAACCCATGGATTCAGTGGATGAAAAGGATGCTAAAGAAGATGTATATAGCGAAGAAAAACACACATCGGTGACTGATAATTCTAAATACAACCACCGGCTGAGAGACACCCTGTCCCATCTCCAATCACACCAGAACCACTGGTAATTTCTTTTTTTTTGTTTCCAGCCGCCACGGCTGTTCCAAACGAAAAACAAAGAAAACACAAAAACGTGCGAAGAAAAACACCAAAAGCACGTCAATGCCTTCAATGCCTTCCTTCAAAGCACAGCACTACGAGACTCCCCAGTCACACCACGTCCCCTCACGGGGCACTTCATGGCCATGGTGGACGCCGCCAAGATCACCTGCGGATCCTGCCCGGTCGGTGCGAGTGGAGACCAAACTTGAAATGTTGCGTTGTACAACTCAGCTGGAAGAACAACATCAAAAGGAAAAATCGATTTGCTAGTGGTAAGAATTGGATGGCTGTCAGAAGTCAGCCTCACATCACGGTTAAAATGACAAACACAACAGATTTGCTAGTGGTGAAGCATACCATCTATTATATACTATAGATTATTGTGACAACACTATCTTATATCACTCGGCTTTTGCCACCCTCTTCATGTTGATGGTGTGTCGAAATTATAGCTAAAAGACTCAGATTCATAGCTCAAACCGTTCCAAATCCACTGACCTCAAAACCTTGTAGACTGAAGGAGAGAACCAACCAAGGATCAACCGCATCTCAGACTCAGAAAGACTCTAGAACATTGCATGAAACGTATATATTTATATTCGTATAATTATATCATAGCAATCTAGTCTGCAGGTACATCATGTTACAGGACCTTGAAACCCTCATCCTCTGCCTGTGTCAAGGTGCCCTCTGCCTGTGAAGTGCGCTCCTGTTCCTCCTGTGTCTCAGTCTGGCAGAGTGCCATTGCCCTCGCCGCAGCTTCACGAACGCCTGGACGAGGGAGGCAAGGACATGGCAGGACTGGTTTTCGTGCAGGAAAGCCTCTGCTTGTGTAAAGCACCAGGTCGATTTCCTGAGTCAGTGAATCCGAACTCCCAGTGGGCCACTGGAAATCCCAGAAAAAATAAACAAAAAACTGTTGGAAGAATCATGCAACTGAAGTCACCCCAAATATCCAATGGCTGCAAATGATATATTCTTCAATATTCTCATGTAATTGGCTATTTCACCTCTTCCAGCAGCTAATTGCAAAGCACTTCCTCATAACCATTCCATCAAGCCAACCCTGCCAATCCTCCTGGCCTGCATAAGCGCGGCACTCGCACAAACGTTTTTCTTCAAACTCAACATATTAAATGTGTCATTGGCCAGCAGAGCAGCAATGCTCCCGCAAATAGACCCGACTTCTAGCGGACCCGTGCCGAGGAAAAGGTCTGTGTACAGCACGAGCCACAGCCAATGACGTCTATGATTACGGTGAGAACCAACTGTTGCAGCATGCTTGTCAAAACATTGTCAAAACACCGGCTACTCTCGAAAAGTATGTTTTTCATAGAGTTAATTTGGAAAGGCTCTAGCTCATGTGTGGCCTCAGCGCTTCCATCCAAATGAGGGCTCCGGACTTGCTAAGCATCAGAATGACTAGAGAACGGAAGGTTGGTTTCAAGTTTCAGGGGAACATCCCTCGTTCGGAAATTGATCTTGCTTGGATTCGGATGGCCATTTTGTCCCTGTGTTTCTGCACACTAGAGGTTGAGACCTGTTGAGACTAGATCCACATGGGAATAGGGGTTTTGACTCTTGCCATCGTGGCCGGAGTGATGCCGCCAAAAATATCATGGACTCTCACTCTCCAGTGTCTTCCACTCATGAGGGAAGAGGTCGACAGGAGACGCCAAGTAGAATTCTACATAACTGACCCTCTGAAGGTTCTGTACCAAGTGAATGTAATTGAACATAAGACATAAGCCTCGCCAGCCTTTGACTCCACGCCACAAGCACTGGCGTTCTGCCCTCATCTGGAAGAACATCTTTCGACCGAAAAGGATTTTCAGTCCCTGGCCTCGGCGATTCCCTGACCAAACGGAGGCGGGTACGGCATGAGGACGAGGACCAAGCCGAAATGGTATAAACACGTGGTTTACATGACGGGTAAGGCCAACTGAGGGCAATTTTAAGCTCTAAAGAGGCCTCACAAACCCAAGAGAAACACTCCAAAATGTCCTTCACACAATCTTCACAAATCCTTCAATTGAATCAACATGACTTAATTAACATGACTTAACCAATGTCAACATATATGGAGCCCTGAATATCAACCACGAAACAGCTCCGGTGTTCCCTTCGGACACCGCCTTGAGGCCACCCTACGAGGCCGCGGAGGACCGCCCGCCCAGTCGCAAGCGGAGCCGCTTCGGCGCCTGCGGACGGTGTCGGACGTCGTTTCTCTTTGGGGTGGTCGTTCAGTTGCATCTATTGGGTGAAACATGGCGAAACGATTTGTCAATAGTGATAGTGATATTGATATTACAGTAAATAGCTTTCTTGTATTATTTCCACTGATTGCAGGATGTGCGGTACTTGACACTAAACGGCAGATTTAGCTCTTATAACCCAGAACTTCCAATGACTCATTTTGACTCATTCTGCCCGTGTGGTAGTGACTGGATTATGACTACCAGGTGGTGAGGTAAAATGAGTCATTGGAAGTTCTGGGTTATGACTAGGATCTGACGATCGTTTTGGTGCAACAGTCCCTCTTCTTCA